GAATAGAGATTTAATTCTTGCTTTCCTTCTTTCATTAAACAGTGGCTGCAGTGTCGATCAGTTTTATAATATAGAGATGTATACCATTTGCGCCAGTGCGAGCAAAAAATTATAATTGCAATCAATTTTGTACGGGATAAAATTATGGAAATTGATATGGAAAGGGTTACACTTAATAAATCGCCGGTTCTTGTGAAAAAAAACATCGGAAAAAACACTATCAAAAGAAACCCATTTGTAAAATGCTATGGAAAAAACACACCTCATCGGATGCCATGAAGAAAAACACATCTCATCAAATGTCACGGAAAAAACCAACTTCATCGAAACGCCGTGAAAAAAAACATACCTCATTAAAATGCCGTGAAGAAGAACACACCTCATCGAATACAATCAGGGGCATTTCGATAAGGTGTGTCTTTTTCACATTGTTTTGATGAGGTCGGTTTTTGTTTACGGCATTTCAATGAAGCGTGTTTTTATTTATAAGCACCTGCGAAATACACTCTGGAACTACATAAAAAAAATTTTTTCATTCATACCATTTAATTTGTAACAATGGAGTTGCCTGATCGAAAAAGATCAAAAAGTTAAGGGGTTGAAGGAATTTAGGAAATTCACGAACTGATTCTTACCGAATTTTTTTATCAGACACTCTTTATGATTAAAGCTACAATACATATTAGGGTGTACCCCTTTTTTAAATATTTCGAATAAAAAGAATAAAATAAAATATATCTCAGGAGCCGAGTGAAAAACTGTAAGATGGTATATTTTTGCAGGTCTGTGCACAACATTGGTGCTGAAATAAAAAATTTTCAGCTCGGAGTAGCACGAGGCAAATAAATACTAATTAAACTTTGCGATTTTTTTTCTCCCATAAAAAGGGTTTAACGAAAAATTTTCTCCGAACAAAAAGTGCTTAATTTTGATCAAAGAATATGTGTGAATTTTTTCAGATTTTTGCGGACCATTTTTGGATTTTTGGAAATATTGACGAACGCCAAAAATCCAAAAATGGTCCGAAAAAATCTGAAAAAATTCACACATATTCTTTGATCAAAATTAAGCACTTTTTGTTCAAAGAAAATTTTTCGTTAAACCCTTCCTATGGGAGAAAAAAAATCGCAAAGCTTTTCATTTCCACATTAGTATTTATTTGCCTCGTGCTACTCCGAGCTGAAAATTTTTGATTTCAGCACCCATGTTGTGCACAGACCTGCAAAAATATACCATCTTACAGTTTTTCACTCGGCTCCTGAGATATATTTTATTTTATTCTTTTTATTCGAAATATTTAAAAAAGGGGTACACCCTAATACATATAGAACGATTTTTGAATTTTTCAAAATTGATTAAACGGCGGACATATTTCGAAAAATTATGTTTTTTACAACGTTTTTGTCTATAAAATTTTATAAAATCAGAATTTCGTCACAAGAGAATTTAAAATTTAGGCCTGTTTTATTCTCTTCCGCATGTACACAAAAGAGGAAAAATCCTTCGGGCGCCATTCTGAATTCTGTGTGTCCTTTTGCTTCAAGGTCAATGCACATGACTGCACAGAGGTGTGTGCATGCCAGAGAGAAAGAGAGAGAGAGAAGTAAAAGTTGTCCACTCTATCTTACAGGATTTTATTAGTTATTATGACCCACCATGATTTAAAATAAATGTTTCATATATATAGCGGACCTGAGCATTAGCAACAGAAACCGGCAACGTCCAGACTTATCCACCACGTACGTGCATTGTATAGCGATAGGTCAAAGACAGACGAAGCTTTGGGCTGAGTGTGAACGATCGCTTTTTTTACCTTTGGTCTACAGTTATCTGTCTTTCTCGCTCGATCGTTTCTCACCAGAAATTATTTTGCTTTCTTCGTAAGGATCAATTGCATTTCTGCGCTGGACAGACGGGTAGGTCTGCGTGGCTGTATGCACACGAGCTGCTTATAGCCAATCTGCACGCATGCACATGGTAAGTTTACACGTAGGGAAGAAAAGCCGAGTGGATCGAATCGAAGCCCGCTGCAGATGATCGCTCGAGTTGCGGCAACATCGCACCTGCACTTGGCTCGTGATCTTTCTGTTTCTTAGCTCGTGGCGCTTCTCACTGCATAACTCGTGAGGCCAGAAGCTCCAATCAAAACTTGGCAACGTCGTCGTTGAGGCTGACACAGGCCACCCGCCACACAAACATACGCAAGCATAGTGTACGATGCACCTCAAGAACTGCAGCGATTACAGAAGCATTTCACGGCACCGCGTTGCATCTCGCTATTTTTCAAGGGACCGAGTTTCGTCCAAAGATTTAAGCGTTTATGAATCATACCGTTTTTTGATTCACTTCAGTTATTGATTCGTTCAATACCTGAACTTTCAACAGTCAACGTTGTAACTGTATGAGTTAAAACATATACACTTGGCTGAGATTTTGTCGAGCACTGGTTAAAAGCTGAGTGATGATCCCAATGCTACAAAGCTGACTTTTAATTCCATCGCTCAAGATTTAAAAATAAAAAAATTAAAAAAAAGGGAAACTCATATTAGTAGAAATTAAAACTGATTGTCTTGCTGGGAGTAAAAAATCCAGCAGCGTAAGTATATTGAACGCAACTCATACAGAAGTCAGTTGCTCGTCTTTAGGAAAGGCTCGTTCGTAAAACGAATCACCTGTTGAGCAACACACGCTGGCACGGAGTTACATGTAGGTATATAGAGGTGCTCCGAGCTCGCAGCGGCTTCCGATTGTCCTTCATAAATTGCTTCCTATAATATTGTAAAATATATAATATCCTCTACTTTTCCTTTCATCCAATTCAAAATATTTGCAAGAGATGCATGCTACAACTTTAATACTGAAGTCTTCGTAATGTCGCAATCCAAAATCTTACATAGCAAAAATTGCACTGTCATCAATATGAAACGATCGACATTGATAATCGAAAAATTATTAAATAATGAGTCGAAAAGCTACTTCGCGATAGTAGGAGAATAATAACTCGCAAGGTATAGGCCAAGTCGCTCTGCAACCCGCGGGTCATTCAACCGCGCACTCACACGTGTGCCTGTCTACTCGAACGATCGACTATACGACTCCGTAAACCAACCTCCACAGTCGAAGCCTCTGAAGGTGTTTGTGGCAAAAAAAACGAATAATACTCACCTATAGAGTAATTCCTCCCCTGCCCATTGCTATACTGCACATGTGTGTTTTGACTGATGTTTATTGATTAAACTTCAGAACACGTCGTACCTCCGCTCTATTGTCATACACGGTCGATTCTTTGTGATGACGTAAAAAAAAGTCGAATTGTCTACAATAATAAAAAAATAATAATAAGGCCCGTTTAAATCGTTCTTCAGGCTTGTGGACTTCTGTAAATACGTCCTGAGATAATTTTTACCGAAATACAATGCAATTAACGTTTACAAATCACCAATCATTTTTTATCCATTTTTTATCAACGGTAATTCGATTCAGTCTATTTTGGCATGCAATATTTCCCATTTTTTATTATCATCTACTTAAATTGACGCTACCTACAAAGACAATAACTCAACAATTTTTTGCGAAAAGTATGAAGTTTGAAAATGCGGTCTAGAGTAGAATTAAATTTTTTCATATGCGAAAACAATACGAAATTTGTTATTTATGCAGCGAGTGCCCAAAAGGCGTTTTTGCGCACAAAGATACGCGCCGGCACGAGTAAAAACTTGTTTCGCACACATTGTGTGGAAAAAGCTGGGTACGTATTGCATACAAAATTTTATGCAATAGTATGCAAAAAGTGCATAAATAACAAACATGATATGGTTTTTTACACAATCACAAAATTCCAGTAATTTTACCGCATACCAGTATCCAAATAGTAGATAACGAGCGGGCGGTGTAATATTGACAACCACCCCAGTTGCGTACACTAATTCATAGTACATTATAACCCTCGCTGCGCTCGGGCGTCAAACTGAGACTCGTGCGAGAATCACCCACTTCGCGCACGAGTGACGTATACTATTTATTTATCACGAGTTGCGGGAAGTTTTTATTTCCCGCACGCTCAGCCGTGCGGGAAGTATGTAATTTCGAGAAGTATCGTTATTACAGTACTGCTCGGGGATTACGTACTTCCCGCACGCTGTGATAAAAATATATTTTAAAATTAAAAACTAAACATTTCAAAAGTAAAATTGAATTTTTATGCTTTTTTATTTATATTAAACACTAGCTTGTCCCCTAAAGAGTAATTGATTTTGATGTCAGTGATCTCAACTTGAATCGTGATTTCCTTGGATTAAAACTCCGAAATTACAGTTTATGATAACACTTGTGTTGAACTTTTTGATGTGAATTTTACCTACAATAGTAGTAACGTTACTGTTTTGGTAGGCAGCGACAATGTATAATCAATTTTTCTTGTATTTTTGAACGGTGATCAATGTTTTTTGATTTTGACCTTTTTTCAAAAATGTCTATACTTGTTTGAAAATCCTGTGAAAAGTCATGTCGATTTCGAAAAAAATCCCAGCGAAGAGTCTGATCGTAAGAAGTGAACTTCGAGCCTCAGACAACCAATTATAAAGAAAAAATAATACACGGGGAACGACTGATTGAGAAAACTTAAAGCAATCGTTTAAATTACAATAATATGCATATTTTTCAATGGTTTTTGAATCAATGATTTTTTCGATTCATGACTACGACCATTTCTGATTCAGAAGAAAAAATATTTAGAAGATACCGAAATTGAGCTGAAATGAAAAACTCACTGACAATTTTTCTTAAAAGATATTTAGCAAAAATCTCAGATAACTTTTTCAAATATTTTAATTTTCAGCTTATTTTTGTTATTTTTACGATGGCATTCATACCTGGAACATAAAACAGTAAATGGGTGTGACACTTTTGCATACGACCTTATTATATTTAATTATAAACTGTATACAAAAAAATTATGTAAACAAATTAAATATTGAGGTTTGTCTCTCTATTTTTCGCTTGGTTTAGATTAGATAGATTATTTCGCTATCCAACTCAAAAAAGTATCTCGTTGAACTTGGAATCAAAAAACAACCCAATCTTCGTTATTAACATAGGACTTGGTACGCTTTTGTTATCTTATAAAAATTTACTGCTGACAAGAGCAATATGAGATGAAAAATTACGATTCATTGAAAAAATTATTTCATGACACAAGAGCTTGTCATGCATCGAATTGATTAAAAAAGCCAAATTAATAAAAAAAATGTCTCTAAATTATCGTGCAATAAACACAATTTCGCTCCTAGATTTGTAGTAAATATATCATATGTAAAAAATATAAATGAATCTTTATATAAATACTCATATACTCCAATAATCCCTATATTCTCAATTGACATTTTGTGATGTTTTATTTTACTTCAATAGAACATTTTTATTTTGACCTTATAATTGAGCATCATAAAAAGATAGTCGTTATTATAATGATGTTTGCAGAATTTTAAAGCTAATATTTACACAAACAAGTCAAATCTAACAATAAAGAAAATTTTTTTATTTTTTTAAATTAACAACATGAGCTTTAAACTTTATCGCTTCTCTTCCAAGATTCAAGAGAAGAATTACATTCAGCATCTCTTATAGGTAAATTACAACTGATTGGTTTACTAGAATCTAATAGATCAAACATTCTCAACAATGCATTGAGAGCTGCCATTTTTTCCGCTTCTTCAATTGAATCGCCCATTCCTAAAAAATATTTTTTAGTATTAATTTTAATGATTAAGCAGACATGATATTGCATTAAAACTTTTAAAAAATGTTCACCAGAGCCCAAAAATTCTTTATTGGAATAAACTGCTATATTATATACTGGAATAAGTGTGTTGACACCAGTTTGCCCTATTATTCTAGATTCTGCATATGCCCTTCCTTCTCTATCAAGAATATCATTTAAAATTTCCATTGGGTCTTCGGGACACCAAATTTCTATTAGATCTTTTTCTGCCAAAGTAGATATAACAATGTCACGAATAAATTTGCCGACATGCTCCAAATCAACACTTCTATTCAAAGCCGAAACTAATGCATAGAATGTATTCATTAGAGTTTCTTCAGACACTGGATATTCCTATTGTGTAAAAAATTAAATGTTAAATTTATCTTTTATATTTTTTAATACTTTTATTTAAATTCCAAAATACTTACTGCTGTTAAAATGAGATCTTTTGTTCCAATTCCTGAAGATGTCTTAGCTAAATTTCCTTCAGCCAATAAATAGTTTTTCAAGGCTCTTAAAATAAAAATAAGTAAAATTTAGAAATTATCAGGGCAATAGATGAAAATAATAAAAATCTTCAAAAATATATTTTACTTATTGTTTTATTATTTTTACTTGTTCTTTTGTAGCTAATAATTAAGAGTTGTGGTGTTCATTTTTTAATATACTTACAGTATACATTCTCGAGGTGCCAATGGTAAAACTTCATTTAAATAATTTTCTACAACAAGAGATGCAATTTGTTTTCCCTCATCTATAAGTTCTTGATTATCAACAAGCTGTAATTGTGATTCCAAACCAACTTTTTTTCTTTCGTCTTCTTCTTGAATTATGTAAGATCTATGTGTAAAAGCTTGCTCTAACAAATCAGTCTTGAATTTTTCTGATAATCTTTGATTGAATGCATATAACTCAGCATCCCTATTCCAATCAATCCATTTGTTTCTTGGTTGACTTATAGGATCTTTTTGCATTCTTTTCCTTTTTGTCAGTTCTATTAAAACTGGTCTGACTGATCTTTTGATCTCTCTTTGAACTAAATAGATTTATTATTAGATATAAAATAAATAGAGCTTTCATTTAAATGCAAATAATAATTGCATTTTTAAAAGATGATCGAAACTACTCACATATTTGATTTACTAATGCTGCTCTTGGTAGTTGAGCAGCTAATCTTGCACAAACACGCAATCGAAACATGATCGTAGCACAAATTTTCAAAACAAAAAAAATTTATAATAAATATTATAGTCGTTTACGATTATACAAACAACATCACTCAAAAGTCAAAACGAATTCACAAATGCAATGTAAGGTTATGTAGAATGGTTGATCGACCGTCCAATCAGACGATTCTTCGTAAGCGCAAGTCGCATATAAGCAAATCCCGATTCTTCCAACAAGTCACTCACAACTGTGTGTCTATGTCTGTTTTATTAGTTTTGGCATCGGCCTGTGAAGGCGATAACAGTGTACATATAAGTTAAGACGAGTACTTTATACTTACACGGAAACTTAATTATGAGACTTTTTAGTTTACTCTAATTATTTCTGAAATTCTGTATTAATTACTTTTATTGTTATTGTGGGTGTGTATATAAGCCAAAAAATGTTTAATTCTGACGTAGAACCCGACGTTTCATCTATTTTATCAGGTTTGTCGAACCAAACCAATGATTCACTCAAAGAATTATTAAATACTGATGAAAAGTTTGAAGAGCTCATTAAAGATAATCCTCAGGTATTTAAAAAGTTTTGCATTTTTCATGCATACATTGATATGAAGTCGTTTCAATTGATTGTTGCATTCCTAGCTCTTGGAGTTGAAAGCAGAGAAAGAAGAAATCATGGTGAGAAATAGATCTTTGGCAGAATTCAATTTATCTAAAGAACCTGAATTAGACAAAGCTAGAGCCAAACTACAATCGCTCAGCGAAGAGGGTGGTGAATTGTGTTCTAGTGTGCAAGCTAAACTTGAACAAATAAGTAAGATAAATCAAATCTCATTCACCTAATTAATTATTTTGACAAGTCTTTTAACAAGAAATTATAAAAATGATATATTTTTGGCTGATTTAGAAAATAAAGCTGGCACTATGACTGCAGATTTAGCTTTAGATCTGTTACAAACAGCAGCAGCAGAAATGGAAGAAGAGTCAGAGGTTGGTATTTATATGTACAATGTAAATTTAAAAAAAAAATCTAAAAATAATATAAATTTCAACTTTTAGAAAATAGCAGAAAAATTTTTGACTAGCGATTTAGAAGTGGATGAATTTTTGGAACAATTTTTAACTAAACGTAAAATTATGCATATGAGAAAAGTAAAAGTTGATAAAATGAAAGAACTAATGAAAAGGCCATCTGTTCATTCTTCTATCAATCCTGGATATCCAATTTCTGGAAATTTTCCAGGTTTATCACCTGCTGTTCCATACCCAACAGGCCTTGTTTCAATGCCTATGCCAGTGCCTCCAATTTTAAAACCTTTCTAGATAATATTATTTTCAAAATTTTGAATGTGATTGAATGTTGTACTAGTTGATGAAATAATACAATTAATTTTTCACTAAAAGTTTTATATTACTTTATGAAAACTTGACTGATTGCAAAAATAAAGTAAAATTTTACTTCTTATGCCCTGATTTATTAATTTAAGATATTTTTACTTTGGTCTGGGTTAAAAAATCATACAAATAAGTTGCTAGATGGTATGACTAAAATCAATTTGAAATCTATAAATGTAAAGGTATATTACACTTTATTTTTTATGTACAATAGACTTTTCCTTGCTGTACAGTAACAATGGCTTTGTATTAGTATTTACAAATAAAATAAACAAATATTACTATCATATTTAAAACATTATCTACAAATGTGTACAAAAAATACTTTAATCCTTTAATCTTGAATCATCTGTACGTGCTCTCCTTTCCCTGATCAAGTTTTTATCATAATCATCGAAATACATTCGTTGTAGCGTCAACAAAGTTATGATTGTTATAGCTACACTTATGATGAGTCTGGCAGCAGCTTGATTATTTTCTATATCTAGCTCTTGTTGCTTCATATATTGCTCTCTCTTTATTTTTTCAGATTTATATTTTAAACTTCTATGCAATGTCCGCCCATAGTGTGCTTGAGTCCATGCATCAAAGTCAAATCCGGTAGCTGTGAAATCTGTTCGTTCTGATGTGTTGTATGTTCTTGACTTGTAGAAACCTGCCATTGGGTCCTCTGCTACATCATGATTAACTGATTGTGAAACATGGTGTCCTGTAGCCATTAAATCACGATCGTACAATTTTCGTTTGCTAAAATTACCTAACACTTCGTAAGCATCTGATATATCTTGAAAAGATTTTTTTGCACCCTCAGTTTTATTAACATCGGGGTGAAATTCTTTGGAAAGTTTGTAATAAGCAGATTTAATGTCATCTTGAGTACTACTTTGGGAAACTTTTAAAGTTTCATAATGAGTTTTTTGATGTACACTTTTTCTGGCTCTAGTACTCATGTGAACTTTGATTTCTTGTATGATTGTTCTGGATCGGTTCATTTTCTAAAATTATTAAACTGTCATCAGAATAATTTCACATTTTATGTAATATATGTAATATATGAAGTACATACATATTGTTATAATTTTAAGTTATCGTTTAATTTTATGTATAAGTTTTAATAAGATAAACAAATTTAACTTGATAATTTCACATATTTATGTAATAACATCGTTCAATCGCAAATGTCAGTTATAACACAATGCTATGTTTTACCTAGTTTCATTGAACAAGATGTCTTATTACCAAAACATTCCGAGCTACCTTGACAGCAAAGCATGAAGATCATTGATTAGCAAGTTACCCGATAATGTCATTCGAATACTTGATCATGCGAATCAATAATTCTTACGCACTTAGACTATAACTAACTGTACAGTTCATAGAACCAACTTAACTGACAAGGCCGAGCATTGTCACATTTGTAACCTATAACTACAAGATTCACCTGTAAGTCACCATCTGATCACATCGTATGTACGCAAGCGCGCTAAAATTTGCAACTTGCAATCAACAAAATTGCCAGCACAAATTCATTATATCCATTCAATCTTCTTCAGTGAACAAAAATTTCAATAAAAATATCTTTATCAAAAATAGTAAATATGAGCGTTCAATTAGAAAAAGTTTTCAGTGAATACTTTTATCTAAATGTTGAAAAAATAAATTCATTTTTTTTTTTCATAAAATTAGGATGCTATGTATCTAATTTATTACTCATTGTAACTTTTATTCAAAGACTAATATTTACTAGTATTTACTTATCTGTACTCTTGAAATGGATCATACGAAGAAAATAAGATTTTTCTCGGTCGAGAAATTTTTTTTCAAAAACTGGGTAGAAAATGTCAATCTCGCAAGCTCCACGCACGAGGCGCTACGTTCGTCGTTACATCCGACCATTCGCTATGCGCGAGGCGCACAACGGCGTTTTAACAGCTTCGTGTTCACAGTCCACATTGACATGAGAACGCATGCGGTCGCTGCAGACGTGAGAGAAACAAGCACGGTGTGTTCTGACTCAGTGAAAAGGCACATTTTTCATCACAAGTACCGGTGAGTTTTGATTATCAACTCTTAATCATATTCTCATTAAATACTTCTGCTGTCGTGTAGTATAATGTATTATTTGTCGTTGTCGAGTGTCATAATTATGTATGAAATGAGCCTACTTGTCAGACGTAGTACGTAAGCTTCGCCACGTTTATTCACTTCAAACTGCATGATGCATGTGCCATTGCCCCAGATTTTTATTTATATTGTTGCTTTGTACGTACGTAACAGTTGCGATTGATGAGACGGATCATTCTAACGAACATCATTTAACCTGAAAGTTCACTGAGAATAACAGACATGTCGTTTTATAGATCAATCTTTTGACCAAAGCAATGATTGCTGAAAAAGATGATCACTAACTCATGTGCATTTCGTATTTAGAGTGTGATTACAAACTGATGATACTGCATATTTTTTGTTACTATATGCGCACAGTACAACTTTTCAGAGTTAGCTGCTGACGTTAGAGACGGATCGTTTCTCGGAAGTTTTTTTTACAAAAGTCATATGAGCGCATACACTTTTATTACTTATTAATCGTTTTAATTTTCCCACATTACTATTACTTCATTCCTGTAATGTATTTTTATCTTTTAGAAATTTTTCAAAGCTAGTCTTTATCTATTCATTCTTGTTAATTGACTTTACAGTAAATGTGATTGAAATTGTATTAATAATATTAAACATACATTAGCTGAAAACAAAGAAAAGTTTTACAATATGTGTAAAAAAGTCGGAGGCTGATAAAACACCTTCAAGTAATGGAGTTTATATGAAGGCAATCTAGGTGTATACACAATCTGTAGTTTGGGCCGCACTCTCAAAACTGTTATTTTTGGCTGTGGTAAAACAAAAAATTAATACTATTATAATTTTTTTTTTAGATAATTTGTGCTTGATTAATATTTTAAATACCATATCGAACATCAGATTCAAAAGTCATAGATTGTTGCTCATTTCCATATATATTTATGTTACAAATGTATGTTGATTTAATAAAAATATTACCTAGGAATCTTATAATTTAATGAAATAATTTTTATTTCAGTGCTACAAATTAACAAAGAAGATTACAGACGTCAAATAAATTTGATTGGAATTAATTATTGGTAATTTTACATTATATAGTATTAAAAGGGTACTTACTCAAAAAATAATGGCAGCCAAAGTAACACATTACGAACCTCCAAGTTCAGCAAGTTCTGAGAGTGAAGATGGAAAAGATGATAGAGAAATGTTTTTTACTGAAGAAATATCCATGGATAATAAATTTGAAATGGGTACTCCTACTCCAGTTCCAACTTCACCAAGACCACCATCTGCTAGCTCTACCAAATCACCTCATTCACGCAGACAAAGGACCGTAAGCTGTTCTCAATCCAACAAGAAAACTGCTGCTGAGTCAGTTCTCCAGAGTAAAACAAGGACAATTTACACAGCAGGCAGGCCTCCTTGGTACAATTTTGCTGGACAACAAGTTGAACCTTTCATTATAGGAATCTGTGGAGGAAGTGCATCAGGAAAAACTACAGTTGCTACAAAAATTATAGAATCTCTTGATGTGCCTTGGGTTACTTTATTGAGTATGGACTCATTTTATAAAGTATTGAATGAAAAACAGCATGAAATGGCAGCTCGCAACGAGTACAATTTTGATCATCCTGATGCATTTGATTTTGAGTTGTTAAGAAAAACTCTACAGAGACTAAAAGAGGGTAAAAAGGTTGAGGTCCCTATTTACAACTTTGTAACACACAGTAGGGAAAGCCGAACAAAAACAATGTACGGGGCAAATGTCATTATATTTGAGGGGATTTTAACTTTTTATAATGCGGATGTCTTAAAAATGTGTGACATGAAAGTCTTTGTAGATACCGATGCAGATGTAAGATTAGCTCGGCGATTGAAAAGAGATATTTCTCAAAGAGGTAGAGATTTAGACGGAGTTTTGAAGCAGTATAATACCATGGTAAAACCTTCGTTTTATTACTACATTGCACCATCAATGGTCCATGCAGACATTATTGTTCCCAGGGGAGGAGATAATGAAGTAGCTATTGAATTGATAGTGCAACATATTCACACTCAATTACAACTAAGAGGATTCAAACTGCGAGAAAAATTAGCTCTTTCTTATATTGGTCAACCGCTTCCCAACTCATTGTACTTACTTCCTGACACTCCTCAAATAAAAGGCCTACACACTTTTATTCGCAATGAAAAAACTCATAGAGATGAATTCATATTCTACTCTAAGCGCTTAATGCGTTTGGTTATAGAATGTGCTTTATCATTGTTGCCGTTTAAAGAAGTATCGGTGGAAACTCCACAGGGCGTTTCATACAATGGGAGGCGAAACGCATCCGAAAAAATTTGTGGTGTGTCAATTTTAAGAGCTGGTGAAACCATGGAACAACCATTAAGAGATGTCTGTAAGGACATACGAGTCGGTAAAATTTTAATACAAACGAATTTCGAGACCGGAGAGCCAGAATTGTACTATCTGCGATTACCGAAGGACATAAAAGATTACAAAGTAATCTTGATGGACGCAACAGTTGCGACCGGTGCGGCTGCTATGATGGCCATAAGAGTTCTTCTGGATCATGACGTACCAGCTGATAACATAATGCTTGCATCGCTATTGATGGCTGAGTCAGGAGTGCATTCTATAGCATACGCCTTCCCAAATGTAAAAATAGTTACATCTGCACTCGATCCAGAAATAAATGAAAAGTTCTATGTTTTACCGGGCATCGGTAATTTTGGCGATCGGTACTTTGGAACTGAGCCATCGACCACCGCCGATGATTAGTTTCGTTCAATCCTTATTACTATTTAGACGATTTCTTTAGATCTGATTACATCTGAAGTTTGTAATACGAGCCGATGATGGTTTTTGACAAGTGACGTTTTACTGTAAAAAATTTAATGAGATAAATCAGTTAAAGAAAGCATAAAACTGTGATTGATCAATTATGACTTGTAATGATTCGTTCCAAATTTAAAATGTAAAAATCTTTTCAAAATTGAATGTTTTTTTTTTAATCTAAACAACTAGATTTTATCTTTTCTAACACATATAGATATAGTGCAGAAAATTTTATCATAATCAGCGCCAAACAGTAACTAAAATTATTAATACTAGTGCATGACGAGATTGACCATAAGGACTCAATTCCAATTAATTATTTTAGATGTTACTTATAATATTACAAATTAAATTTTCAGAGAAAGAGAACTTAGCCATGTGGCTTCTCAAAAATTTGTGCGAAAAAAATGTACTGTTTCGCGTTGCGTCAATAGATCAATTGATATGTATCATTGTTATTTGCTATTAAGCTCAATTTGTACATACTTTCTCATCAATTGATTTTGAAGATCATTACGGCTTTTTATTTATACGCGTTTTAATACACGAAATTCTATTAAAATATACATTTTCAATCAACGCAAAGAATTACGTGCATTAAAACAGTTGATTTACTTTGTTTTAATGAAGCATTTTTATCAATAACTTATTTATACAATAAATAAAAATCATTTCATTAAATAAGATTGCATATTTTTTTAATACTTATTTTAAAAATTAATTTATCGTGAGATCCTAATGAATATTTTTTTAAATTATTCAGAAAATCATTTCGATGACTATCATATGGCGCGTAAAAACGTTACTTAAAATTTTGTTAATCTACTTGAAGATATAAAGAACAAAATCATTACATTCTTTTAAATTAATATTTTTAAGGACTAATTTAATAACAATATCAATACGAGATTGTTAGATTTTAGTAAAGGTCAGTAAATTCGATAAAGTATGTCAGATTTTTGCCATAGATAATTATAGAGAACGAACAACTCCATTGTAAAAAAGTTGTTCCAAGCATATGAAAAAGTATTGATACTGCCCTTTTAGGTTTTCCATCAACTTTTTATGCAACAATCTCGTTCCAAAATGAACCCCTTTACTACATTTCTACTTGTAGTTTGTGAACCATACAAGATAGAGCTATAATCTAAAAAAAAAATATAGAAAATTTAATTATCTTCCTAGCGATATGTCGATGGACCAAATCGGATTATTAGTTTTCGAAAAAAACTCATAAAAGTGCGAAAAACCGTGTTTTTTTATTTACAAAACAAGTAAAAAAAAGTGAAAATAACTTGTGTACTTTTTCAAATAAAGACTTGAAATTTTTTAAAAGGTTTTTGAAAGTTCAAGTTTTAAAAAACAAATTATTTCATTGAAATTTTCATGTATAATAACGTTTTCTATTAAAAAAAATGTATAAAAATTGTATGTAAAATGGTGTTTTCGCAAACATTAGAGCGTGAAATCAAATACACTAGAATTTTTTTGTTGATTTTTCAGAATTTTCAATTTTCAAAAATCGGAAAAAATTTTTGAAAAAATTCCTTCATATCCTTAGATGATTTTAAGAGCTATTTCGTCAGTAACATTTTTTCCCCAAGTCCATTTTTTATTTTGAGTTGAAAATTCCCGAAGGTTCTTCATTTTTTTCTTGTTCCAGACGCTATTTCATGGGCTCAAAATTTCATTTCATCAATTTGAATGGACATAACTTTTTTACTAGGGCCATAAACGCTTAATTTACACCTAAGATATCAGATCCTAAACAATTTTCAAATCTAAAATCAGAAAGAAAATATTTTTATTCTCAGAACCACGTTTTTGTGGATAAGATTATCCATAAAAATTGAGCCATTGATTTTTCCGCAAATCGAACGTTGAATTTAAAAAATTCACGGAATTGTATTTTTATAATGCTTGACCGAAAACACAACGGTTTCAAAAAAAGATAAAAATTTGTTCGTTCCGGACTAGATGGGTTAAAGTTCACAATATTGTTATATATTTATCTAAAAAAGTTTATTTGCTGAGGAAGTGAAAGAAAAATTATCACAATCTCAATTTAACATCTTGTTTCATAATTCTGTTACAAGGAAAATAGTTTTTTTCAAAGTTTTGAGAGAACATAGCATTTCATATCAATTTTGAATGAAAATAAAATAATTCTGCAAAATGTATACTTACGATTAATATTATTGTTGATTTTTTTTTATTGTTTTTTCGACTTCGAAATAAGTACAGCTGCAGATTGAAGGTACTTTCATCATCATACTGTAAAAATGATAACTTATAGAATTGTAACTGTTTGGTATTTTCTTTTGTACCAAAAATCTTATGAGGAAATTTTATGTTCTTGCATAAATATTCCTATCTTGTAAATTATCGAAAATTCTTGTTATTTAATTTGAGTTAAATTTCATCTACAAAAGCATCACGCTAAGTAAGAATCTAAAATATTGTATTACTTGACAGCTCAGGTACACCTCTAAGAGCAAAGTTTAACAAAAATAACTGTTTTAAGTTTGATGTGAATAAAAAAAGTAAATAATTGTATTCACATTAAGTTATATGAAGGGATAATTTGAAATTTATTAATTTTTGTAAGTAATATGTCTTGGTACTAACGTTAGTATATAAAATACATATTATATTGGATGACTATGTGAATTAATATGTAAATATAGAAATTCTACGTTTATTGAAAGGCATATTCTTTAAAATGATACTCAAATACAATAGTAAATATTTTTTGAAAAGTTTATTTAATCCCTAAGAGATATACAAAACAAACGTTTTTTCTTTGTAACTAAGATATTTCCTAAATTAACACAGGAAATTTTGTCATGAGTTCTTATTCTTTTTCATTTCTCGTTTTTACTTGGTTTTATTTTATACTCATTTAGTGTATCACCATTAAACGTATCAGCGCTTATTAATTTATATTCTCAGTATCAGTACAATTCATTTTCAACCAGCTATACTCATTTTAAATCATGCACATCTGCAAATCAGTATTAAAATATTACAATTTCATATTTTACAGTATTATTAGTCCTCTAACTCCTTTTCCTATGATGAGATTTTCATGCCTTACTTCTTTTTAGTTCTTATTATCTTCTCTTTCGCACTGTGTATGGTTGCACTTGGTTGTATTAATACATATAATAATTATAATGATCATATTAATACAGTCGCATTTTTTCTTAAAAAAAAAAAAAAAGAACGATGCAATAATGCATTTGAGGTAGACAAAGAGTCGTAATACGCTGAATGCGTCCAATTAGTTGAATAGTTCGTCTTTGCTTTTCATAGAATAATAAGAATCGTTTTCATTACAATCAGTCTGATTATAAAAGAAGTCGAGCTTCTTGCATAATGTTTTGCTATTTTTGTATATTAATAATTATATCATAATTATCGTGTCAATAAAATCTTGGAATAATATAGAGCTTGCATTTTATCATCAGCATCCCATATAATAGATTGCTCTAATTGATGACGTTTAGGTAATCTGTACATACTATGATCTAGGAATGTTAACATTACAAGAAACCACAATGATTTATTATAATACAGCCTGCTGTACACCAGAATGATTTTCATGAGATAGCGTATAGCATTTGAGTATTACTTACACTATTAATGTATTATTTGAATTTCATCGTTAGACAAAAATTTTAATTTAAATATTGTTAAGTGGTGTGTTTAATTTAAAGAAATCATTTATAAAATCTTAAATCCATTGTATTTTTTTTTTAAGAAATATCATTTTATTGACAAAATGAAAGTTTGTAAGAAGGGAATATATAAACGATGGTAAGGGGCAGGGACCGATCGCTTTGTTCAAACAAAACATACAAATAAGTATTATTTTAATACAGTCAAACCTACTCGTCAGGCATATGAAAAACCATTTTTTTTTAAACAAAACTGAATGTATTGTACAACGATTACAATCGCACAAATTTTTCCAAAATCGATCGATAAAAATAAAAAGCTGGCATTTAAAATTGAGTTCACTTAAAGCGTAATTACAGCGATTACTAAAAATTCAAACTCTTTCTTTTCAGAATCTATTAACGATATTCTTATGGATTAACAATATCATTACTCGTTAAAAAGCTAGAGAATGAATCTTTACGCGTGTGATATATTTCTTACGCGTGATACTCATCCTACACTGCGCTATCTTTTTACTCTTATGCTCAAAACTTTTGTGAAATACTTAATTATGATTGTGCTCTTTCCGGCTAACGAAGCAAAATTTCGAACGAATGTGCTTACATCACTCTAATCGTATTACAATTCTTTCATAGTCATTTTTTTCTTTTGATTTAAGAAAACATTTTTTTAGTTTTCTTTCGCTCATTCTATCGCTTGCTAAGTAAATAAATATCACTCAATCACGCGCATCGCAGTCCTAAATAAGAGTTAGTTATTACAACATCAACTCCGGGAGATCGTTTTCTTGCACAACAACGTACACGCGATTAAGATCGAATCCCCGTACCTCAAGTGGTTTATAAAAAGCAATATAAATTACGCAGGTACAGCTAAGTGCTGAGGGTCTGGTCGCACCAGCACGTTTCTTAGAATCGCGATAATAATTCAAATATAGGAAAAAGTCAAAGGACATAACCATAGAAGAAAGTAATAAAGTCGCGGTTTCCTTATTTGCACGCGATTCTTTATCAGCCGATTCGAGCATGAGAATTAATTAAAAAATAATTATAAGTAGTATAACTGTACAAAAATCGAGTAATTACAAAAGAAAACTGCATTTATTTGTTCATTTAATATAAACCTCGTTAAATCGCATACTATACGCTGGCACCGAATGAACTGAACTGATAACGTTCCGTAAGCTTACTTAAACCTACTAAAGATGGAACGCTCCGTCGATTACAATGCAATTGTGTTCTCATTACAACATTTGTCATTTATATTCATTCATCAATATATCAACTAAATCAAATGTATATTCAAGTTTTTTTATCTAAATAATAATTGCCGCTTTTTTGTTCAATCTTCTTTACTTTAAAAATAAGAGTGGAGACAATAGTCGGCGTTTCCATAAATAAATTAAGCCCCTGCGCCTTCCACCCCAAGACAAAAAAAAAGTGGGCACCATCTTATATGTGTTTTAGATTCACACATAACATGTCATTACTTTTGTAATCCATTTCGTTTATGTTATCTCTATCCTATGCCACTTTACATGTTTTGCTATCAATAGGTTAAAATACAAATGTTCATACACGCACGCACATCTGCCCTTTCTCGCATCTGTTTAAACACTCACACATACAATTTTTCTTTTTTTTCTCAATCAAATAAAATTATAATCAATCGCGGATTCATCGTATCTTTTATTTGTTTGAATTTTTTCGTTTGGTTCGCATTGTTTAAATCATTATAATCAATCTGAAACAGCCGTGAATTCGACTTGTGGTTAATATGTATTATTTGTTCTCCTAGAGTTGTTTGTGTAAGTACTCTCACGCTAAGGTCAATGGCATGTACAGTAGGTGAGGCATGTATTGGGATCAAGGATACGGGTGATAGATGAGATTTTTTTATCGACGTGCGTCCGCTATATTATTATTATTTTCATCAATGTCCAGGCTATTCGTCTTCTTCTTCTCCCCACTCCTCTTCACTTTCAGCTTTTTTTGCAACTATGGCTGGTACACCGACTCCAGGACCATCCTTAATTTTTTTTTTGTACGCTGTCATTTCCTATAAAATTGCGATGTTTTTAAAGATGCCAACTTGAGTAAGATAGAAAAATAGATTTTAAGATGTACATAGCAGCTATGTACTTACCCTTTCATATCGAGCCTTGTCTTTTTCAGCCATGGCTTCATATTTGCTCTTTAGTTCGGGACCAGCGTCGGACCATCTTTTACCAAGTTCCTTAGCAATATCACCAACTCCGTATTCTGGGTTGATCATCTTAACCTTAGCTCTTTCATCATTGCAGAACCAGAAGAATGCCGACCTAAACAAAAAAATTGAATCACATGTTAGCGGACAATTTAGCAAAGTTAAGTATAAAAAATTTTTATTTATAGTATATAATAAGGTTTTTTTCCAATGTTCATGATAAAGTTGTTTAAATTTTTTTGAAATTGATCTGATTGTTTATTTTTATTATTTCATAAGACAGTAATATAAGCTATATTTTATAGCTTTCATTTTGAATATGAATCTTTTAGAGTAAAGTGAATTCAGCATAGCTTATTAAATTATTTTGACAATATCAATACTTACAGAGATCTCTTTGGTGCATTAGGATCCTTGATGTGCTTTCGCTTTTTGCCTCGGCCTCCCTTCTCACCTTTGGGAACGATATAGTTCTGCATCTCAGCATCGTATCTCTTCTTGTCTTTCTCTGCCATCTCGTGGAAACGTTTTTTTTCTTTATCACTCATTGTCTGTAAAAAAAAACGAAAACAAACATTGCATTAAAGATACGTTAGCGTATTTTTCTCATCGTTCAACGCATCATTTGAAAAAAAGCATTCATCAATTCTTTTTAAAGACAATATTTTTCTCCAACTATGGTATTCCAACATCCATCCCCTCCATATTTTTTCGAAATTTACATCTACCGGTGAAAAATGCACGTATAAAAAAATGTATATCTATATAAACGCGCCAGTAGAAAAACAACCACCACCGCTATTGCACTACCCCCACTAAATACCAAGTCTGTAAAAGGCTAGCACGTATTGATCGGACCAGTGTACCCGCCGCTGCGCCGTTATCTACCCCCCTCAGTCTACGCTCGCTGTCGCGTTTCCCCTCTTTTATAAAGTTATCAATTTTCATCGTATCAAAGCATTGGTTACCTTCGCGTTACTTTTTTTCATAAGTATCGATTTTCTTATTTTTCATCACAATTAATTTTCAAACTATTCGTCTAAGATTACAATTTTTTAGTAAAAAATAACATAGAGCAAAGGAAATATGTAGATAGGCGGTATTGAGTGGGGACATGCAGAGGGTAGTATAGCGGCAGTAGGGAACACCAAAGCGAGTTGGTCGATACCGTCACCAGAACTGCCGTTTGCCACCCTCACCCTAACCCACTTTTTTCCCCTCCTCGGTTCACCCCTCTATTTTCCTCGTTAATTTCGTTCCTTCGTAGCTAGCTCGCTCGTTCGTTCCCTCTCTTGCTTCCCATATATTATAAATATATATACGTATATATTATATAATCATTATTTTTCTCAGTGATGAGCATTAGCAATAAATGCAGCATACAAGAGATAGTAATGAAACCTCTGCATACTTCTTCGTTTTCGGTAAAAAAATATTATGATCGAGTAAGGTTTGGAAAACACATAGCCAGAGTTCTAATTAAGATATGAGTAGAAATTTATTTTTATTTTCTTCTCAATGAAATGCATTCATCATGGATACCTTGTGATTTCATTTTTTTATAATCATTTTAATATTCACAAAAGTTCTATAATATATTCTTGAGATTAGCCTATACCGAGCTTCGAATGCATTATTTATCAACGAGATTAAATAAAATAACTCGCTTCGAGAATGATAGAAAGCTGTGGACAATTTTACTACTTTTCATATGAGATTGATTTTTATTAAACTCAGCAAAAAGATGATATATCTAATAATAGGTGCGCGTAAAAACGTGATGCGCTCAGCAACGAATATCTATATAGATAATAGTGCACGTGTTTCATATACATACGCCGATTACGAGTATGAGAGAGGGAGAGATCTCGATACAGAGTGCGCGACTACAACGCTGCTAATGTTTCCGGTGCTAGTCAATGATAGACTGACGCACATAGCACAAGAGCGAGATAGAGAGGGAAAGAGAGAAAACATCCGTCTATACCGGGCAGGTGCGGCGTGTAAAACACGGCTTCTTCCTGCTTTTTTCGCCAACTAACGAAAGAATCACGCTCGATACATGGATTATTCGTCAATTTGATGTTTTTAAAAAGTTTCCTTTCTCGAGCCAACATTTTGATGCATGATGTAATAATAATAATTATTAAAATAAACTTGGTATGATGTAATCTGGAGTACATAATAGGCGGATTAATAGAACTTGACGACAGCAGCACTACATTACGCAAGTGGTTAATTTTCTTTTTTCCTCGTGTTTGATCGATATTATTTTTTTCAAGATCTTTACAAAGGTTTGAAACAGTACTGTGCCCAGAAATGGATGCTATCTTGCGTTGTTTCCATAAATTGAGATACCAACTTTCTTTTAGTTGTTAAAGAGCGCGGTATACATGACGTGAGCATATAACGCATGACGTGCGATTAGTTACTTGTGAGAGGGAATATAATCGAGAGTATGATTGTAAGAACTCCATTGAGTGTTTATAAATTGATAAATATTGATGAAATTAACTCTTGATGTCAGACGCTCGAGTTTACGCATATGCACATGTCCGATTCTCTGTTAACTTACCTGTTCAAAACTATGTTTCTGTAACTGCTTAGACGAACATGATGTTTGACTAGTTAAAACTGTCCCAGTTTTGAAAAAAGTATCTAAAGTGATTTGAGCACTCCGATCAACACTTGATACTAATCACAGAGATATCTAATTCGGACTTGATTTTTGAAAAACTTGGATAAAGATGATCAAACCATACAAACAATGGAAGATAGTTGACATTGTAATAAATCTTGGTGAATTTTACTCTGATCAAAGTTTAGATCAAACTTGATTAGATTTTAACTTTTAAATTTCTTTCAATAACAGCAAATCAATCAGAACCGAACTAGGAACTTTTTTGAATTGCAATTTGCTGTCCCAAAAATTTGATTTTAATTCTGGAATAATTCCAACGAGACAAACATTACAGATACAGGACAATTTTTTTAAAAAGGTGAGTTGACAGAAAATTAACTATATTCACTAACACAAAAACATTTTACATAGTATTTTAAACAGTTCCCGTGGCGAGGGGGTAATTTATGAAATTACCCTCATGACTATAGAATGAAAAATCTCGTTACGAACACACAGATAATCTTAAAACGAATTATTACCGCTCATATTATATTCGTTAGGTCATTCATACTGTATGTTGCCTACAACACAAGTAATCAATCGACTTTTTGAAATCACGGGTGATATCTTTGAGTATCGAAGATGCTTCAACGAGTTTAATGGAAGATTTCAATAGTAAACGACATCAATCGAGTAATGTAGCGACTCGACGTGACGCGACACAACACGAAGCACATACAAAACGCATATTACTATTTCTGGAAATTTAGTCTTTCTGCAAGGTTCAACGAACTCTAAGTTACGTTTGCGGAAAATATACAGCGGCTGTATACCTTGATCTGCTGGAGCTATTTCTTGCCGTTTCTCGAGACCGTTTTTTATTAAGTATTAATTTTATAAATACTGAAGATACTATGAAAATTACAATTTTTCTATTTTCCCTTATGCTAATTCAGTATTATTGAAATAGTCAAATCGAAAGTTTTTTACGAGTTTCAAATATGTTTGACGTTTAATATTAAATTGAGTAATAGAATATTGTTGATAACTGACCTTCCACCTCAAAGCGCACTTTTTGGAAAATTCCTGGAAGACGATGTTCTCATCGGGGTGCTTTTTCTTGTGTTCCTGACGGCAAATCTGAACGAAGAACGCATATGCTGTCATGCGGCCCCTTGGCTTGGTATTTTTTGCTCTTTTATCCTGTTGCAAAGCATTATTTTGATGTTGTAGATTATTTTGATGGTGCAACTGTTGTATCTGGTGCTGAAAAATCGAGAAAAACCCACGTTGTTGTTGGTCATAGGTGCGGAGAAATTTTTCGGGAATAATGTAAGGAATGTATAAGATTTATATTGTTGGAAAGTTGTTAAATAGAAAAAGCGTTAAATTCGTATCACTGGAGCAAACAAAACGGTATTTTAAAACTTAAAAATTAGTTAATATTTTGAGCTCAATAATCGCCTGTAGAGATCGGAAAGTGATAATACCAAATCATCTTTTTCATCTATTTAAACTTGAAGTTTCAAAAATTGATAAGGGAAAAATAATCTGCATTGATTTTGAACCGATCAAAGTCATTGGACGTATGACTGAGCGGACATTATAATTGTGTGATCAGGAAATTAGTTTCAATTTCCTATATCGTTTAACGCATGGTTACTGATCAAGGTTGTTGCAACTCCGATATATATTATCCCATAGATAGTTATCTTGACAAGGAAAAACAAACGCATTATTTTTCGTGGCCAAAGCGAAAATATTTCGTCCCTCACAGTAGGTTTCAACATTAACCAGTCTTATATAAAGTATGTATGGCGTTCAACTTCACCTAGCTACTCAACGAACTCAATACCCGTATCAACTATGTAGTGATTTTTGACTGCATACAAGTTTACGAAGTGAAACATCTTGTACTCTAGAGAATAAAAAAAAGAAGCTTTGACGAAAATGTGTATACTATTATACGTAGTACATAACAATATAATTTTAACAGATGCAGTTGTGGTTTATTTTTTAGCAACATTAGGGATATAGTATGAGATGAAGGCGAGTGCAGCAACAAATGTTAATGAAAACCCATATGTACGCTAGTTCAAAACACTATTTTTTCTCACATCAGCCCAAAACTAGCGGCAAAGTAGCATATTTTAGGTTAGAGCGAGAAAAAATTTTTTTTGTTTAATTTATTCGATTAATCAATGTTGCTCGCCCAGTGCGCCTCCCTCTTTCTATTTCTCTTTGTAATAACTAACCCTCATGCGTAAATCACCTTCAACCCTCTTTCATAGTTTGCGAATTTCGAAGCAGCAAAGCGAACGTGGAGGCGGAGGGAGCCGCTTAAAAATCGCGTAGTGAGAGAGAGAGAGAGTTAACCGTCGGACGAAGGCGGGATGAAAAGAGAGAGAGAGAGAGAGTAAGTGAGGTAGAATCAATAGCCCGAGTTGTATGCAGCAGCGGCTCCCTCTCTTTATATATATATATATACCTATATGATAAATACCTAGAATTTTTTGAACCTTGAACGAAGTGTAAATTTATAATGAATAAAAATGTATTAAAAATGCAGAACAATAATTATTGTAGAAAAGATTTTAATTAGAATCGTAATAGAGTATTCTCGAGATTCATTAAATCAAATTTCGGAATATGCTACGAAATAACTGATCGTGGGTACGATGATAAATAAATACGCGTGGGAAAGTATTTTGTACTATACTTTCTTTACGGCCATGTGTGAAAGACATCAAAAACATACCGTTACATCAATTAAAGGCAAATATTAACAGGTAAATAGATTTTCAAAAATCAAAAGGACTAAAATATATAACTAGAAAAAACAACTTTTTCCAGATGCGATTTTTGAAATCAGAGAAACAATTCAATGTAAAAAGTGTCGATGACATGAGTTTAGAATGAATGATATATTTGAATCCATGATTTGGGCTTAAAAAATCAAAACTGTAAACGATGGCCGATGTATAAAATGAGCAATACAAAATATCCTCACGCCATCATTCAGTAAAATCGGAGTGATTTTAATTTCTTATCCACTATTTTTCATGTATCAATAATGCGCAGAGAAATAAAAAAAAGTGTCGAAGAAAAATGTAAAAGAACAAAATAAAAAATTGTTCTCGTCGATTACAGAAAAGGCAGTGAAAAAAATTATATGCGCCCGACAGTCTTTCGGACAACACACCATGGCTAGCGGGAGAACAAGCACCGAGCCAGAGTGTACAAAATGGACGGGGTTCTCTTTCTCTCTCTCTCTTTCGTTCGTTCGTTCGTTCGTTCGCTTGCTAGTTCGTGTCGGTATATATGGCGTGGTGGAAGCAGCGGGGCACACAACATACACACACACACACACATACACCGACACGTGAAAGTCCGAAAAGGCGCGCAGCTATATAGACAATCTCAAAACCCATGGGTCCGGGCGTTATAGGCCTGCGTTAAAAATGCACCAAAAAAACCTTACAGAAACGCGTGCGATTATTGTTGTCATTAGATTTTTTTTATCAGGGCCCGCGTGACACGACGCAATGTATTATAGTGTCAAAACCCGTGATGTTGTAATTACGTTATTCGATAGAGGAGAAAATTCATGCAACGGCTAGCTGTATAGGCGGCGTAAATTTCGAGAAAAATAAGTTAGATTTCAGGTTATGTGTGCAGCGAGACCGAAGATGTAATCTCGTATCACACTCTATGATCGATCTCAAACGAGTTTTTATCGCAGTCTCTGTCTTAGTGGGCGACAGTCTCGAATTAAAAGATGATAATTAACACGTGTTTCCTGGCCTAGCTACTCATTTACTTGATTCTTCTCTTCTCATTGTCAAATTGATTAAAATGAGCTCAAATAACGTTGCATTACGTCTCGATCAAATTTGTGGAAAAAACGGCAAAAACGAGGAGTCGTTACATGTACCAAGTGTAAGAAGACAACACGGCACGCATTACACGCACACACGTGTCGATTTTAACATAGCCTAAACAGCCGGCTATTTCGGAGTATAGACAGATCGTTAGTTTTCGGCGTTTTTTTCACAAATTTTGGGACCGATACGAAGTGACCGAAGAAGATGTAATAGCTCAAGGCAGAAAGAAAGTAACTAAGTCTAATGAATGAATGAAACAAAAAAAAGAAAAGTACAATTTGCATATTCGCTTGAAAGTTGTTCTGTACCGGCGACATCAGTTGCGCGTTGCCTTGACTGATGAGGTGTTGGCCCTGCTGCAATTGCTGCTGGTGAAGGTTGTTCTGTTGGTCCATGACCTGGCTGGGATACCACCACTGATTGGTGGCGGAGACCGGCACGCTCCTGTAGTCGTAGCCCTTCATGCCCTGCATCGCCGCGGCGGCAGCGGCGACGGGACTCGACGAGGACACGGGACTGCTCTGTGCCCCCGTCGTCGCCGGGTTCTGGAAGCTCGAGGCCATTTTGTACGTAAACAAGTGCTGCGTCGCCGCGGCCGTGCTCCTGACTATGTCCTGCTGGTGCTGCTGGCTGAGCTGCTGTTGTTGCTGCTGCTGAGCAGCCGCCGCGGCAGCCGCCTGCTGGTTCAGCAAGTGCTGCTGGAGGTTCTGTTGGTGCTGTTGCTGAGCCTGCTGCTGTTGCTGTGCCTGTTGCTGGGCCTGCTGCTGGGCAGCGGCCACGGCTGCGGCTTGCTGCTGCTGCACCGCGGCTGCCTGCTCGTTCGTCAAGCCAGCCGGCCACCACGCGGACGCGGCTGCTCCGGCGCCACCGTCTTCCCGGCTACCGGGCGCCCACCTATGGTGATCCGACATGTTCGCAGCACAACTCCGTGTCCCTTAAAATGTATGCTGCTGATGATCACGAGTGTGTACGATCTATACACGACTCTGCACTGGCACGCAAACTTGTGTGAGTGTGTGTGTCTTTATGCGACGACGTCGTTGAGGCACGCGCGCACTCGAGCTATGTAAAAATCAACTGTAACTGTTCGAACGACTGAAATCTTGTATCGCTACTTGGCTATGCTAACGTTCCTGGACGACGATGCTTCTGCTGCACATAGATGCTCTATTGTCGCTTATTATCTTGCACATTTACACCGTAGGTAAGGCAACTATATCGACGACGACGACACAGCCGAATCGACTTCTCTATTCAGCATAAAAGTAGCAGCATGCAAGATCGTTGGGCACACTGGCAATGGAAGTATAGCGAGTATGCGTGTGAGAGAGCGAGTATGCGTAGTGCGCTTGTATGTGAGAGTGCGATTCACACACAGAGACACACGGACACGTTCACACGTACACGCACGGACACAAGTACAGAGAGACACACTCACACACACACAGCGACACGATGAACACACCAACACGCGCGTATATAACGAGTACGTTGCCGAGAGAGAAGGGCCCTTCGATACACACGTACACACTATATATACGTATATGTTACACGATCGTGGCTGCTGCTGCTGCTGCTGTTGCTGGCCGAATCGCTGTTTTTCACGAGACTCGCTGGATGCTTGAATTGCTCGTCCAAGAAGCTGTATCGGCTTTTTTTAGTACAACCAAAGCGAATACTCGCGGCACTATCATACAAACACTGCAGATTCGGATAATCGTACTATATAACCTGCGCACAGACTTGTGTTATAGCTAAACGTGTATATGTATGTAACTCAGCGTATGTATACGTAGATACGTATATGTGGTGCGTGTGTATATATATATCTATATATATATTATGTAGATATATATATATAAATATATGTAAGTATTAATACACGGTAAAACCTCTTTCTTGCAGCGGGACGCTGCTGTTGCTGAGCCGCTCTCTTTGTGCTATGCTATGCTGCGGCTATGCCTGCTGCTGTTGCTCCGGTCGTCCCCCACTATTGTATAGAGCCGTCGCGCACACATACACACGCACACGTAGTCATGTACACGCGCGAATCGCGAACGGGCCACAGAGCGAGCGGGCGAGCAAGCGCGCAACTAGCGAGAAAAAGAGAGAGAGAGAGAGAAGCTACGCAAAAGCAGCAGCGGGCGCCTCTTCTATCTCTTTCGCTCGCGGGTACCTTCGCCAGGAGCGCGAGCAAACGGCATATATCGCTGTGGCGCGAGCGGCCAACGCAACGTGCTTTTCTGGCGGCGCGGCTACAGCCTCTCTTCGGCGACGTCTGGCAAAGGTCCTTCTGCACTCGGAGTAGATGCGACTCCGTCGGCTAGTTGACGACGGCCGAATCGAGCACACCAAATTTTATCGAGATGACTGCGTTCGAGCACTGAGTCACCCCGAGTTTCGATACTACGAGCCCCTATATGCCTGATGTTTATCGGTTTGTTTTTCTTTTGTTGTTGTTGTTGTTGTTATTTCGTTTACAAAAAACAATGGAGAACTGTTCACTGCTGGCGTAGCGTCGAGCCAACCGCCACCAGATACATATCTCTCGATCTCTCGGAACGTGCATGCACAACTGCCTCGCTCTATTCCGCGCTATGCTGCTGCTTTTAATCTGTCTGCTGCTGCAACTGCACCCGCCGCTGGCTCCGTTGCTGCCACTGTCGTTGCACGTACGATTTTCTCTCTCTCTCGGAGAGAGAATTTTCCCGTGACGAAACCCTCACTCCCTAGCGTTAATTTCTTTCGAGTATTCGTCGATTGTGTTTATATACAAAAACAACACTCGATGTGTATTTCTTAGACATACGACACAGGGCCGCCTCTAACAGAGCTAGTAATTCGCGCTCTCTCTTTCTCTCTACTGTGCTGGTAGTGCTGCCAGCGCCGCTGACTTGCTTGCAGCAAAGAGAGAACAAGATGTCGGCGGCCCTATACCTCTCTGCGAGTGTATGCGCGTGCACGGAACACACGCGCGCATATACACTTACATACGCGACAGCGGCGCACATACATACGTACGTACTTACGTACGTGCACATACATATATTCGCATACACACGCATACACTTGCACGAACGCGCCAATGTGTACGAGCGCGCCAATGTAGAGTTTATAATGGAAGCGAATGCGAAAGCCGAAGCGAGGGAGACGCTTCTTGCCTTGTGTTGGCTCGTACGTGAGTCTCTCCGGGCGAGTGTGTGCGTCACATGTACGCGACAAGCACACGCACACAGACGCCAACTCACACGCGGCCGAAACCTGTGTACGTGCACATCTCCCTCCCTGGCAAAAGCTTACGATATATACCTATCAGAGGCTGTGTACAGTAGTTTTCGCGCCGCTGCGCGATGGCCGCGCGTTATTTCAAGAGAGAAGGAGAGGAGACAACAGTGTAGGCAAGTATGTAGGGGAAGTGAACGCGCGAGAGAGAGAGAGAGAAAGACGGTGGTGCCACTGCCATGTCTTCTCTCTCGTTCGCACTCGTTTGACCTTCCCCCTCATGCTTACACATATACGAGCGAGCGAGAAAGAAAGAGAGAAGACCATCTGTCTTTATGCGCTCAACTGCGCCTGCGCAGCAATAGCGACTCGTTCGCTACTTTTTCTGTCTCGCTTCCTCCTGGCGTCGGCGTTCTTTTCCGTTGATTTGCTTTGCTTCTGGCTCGGCGAAGCCTGGCTCCTTTTTTTACTATAATATAATATACATACGCGCCGTTTTTCCCTTCTACCGTCTATTATGCATTTGCCTTCCTCGTGCTTATCCATGTTTTTTTCACTCCACTACTACCAGTTGGAGCATCAAACTTTTTTTTAGCATAAAATTGTTGAAAAATTTGCTATCCAGCTGAAGGCTTAATTTATTTTTCAAAATTCGACGGCATTTGTTTATACTCAAAAAGTTAATCCTTCACGAAAGAATTAAAATCAATTGATTCTCCGAAAGGTTTATTTTTTATTCTTAAATTTTATAAGTATAGATTTTATACGAGTAGCGTCGTAATGAACGCTTGGATGGGTTGGTCGAATTGCAAGGGGAGTCGGCGGGGAAGTTGAACGCGCGCTCAACGGAGCAGCGCGCAGTGTTGCCGGGCTGTGCTCAGCTTCAGATACATATATATACGTACGCACACGTATACGTAATATAACCGCCACCACACAAGAAAGAGAAAATTTTAGAAAGAGACAGAAGATGCGAAATGTGTACGGGCGAGGCAGAAAGAGAGAGAGAAACGAGCTTGGTGTTTGTGAGCCAACGTATATCAGATTGCCTCGTGTTATGAGCCTTCGTTTCTGTATGCGTGTATACGAGAATATAAGCGCGCGCGCTCACACACACACAAATACAGACGCGCAAATTGTTATAAAACACGCGGCGTCCTTTTTCGCGCCAATAGAAGCCAGCAAGACCCCCTCACTTATTCTACCCTTGAGATTTATTATAATGTATAGGGTTTTTTACAATTTTAGACATTTTATTTCAGTTAATTTCAACGTTAAAATATTCTTACTCCACAATTATTTGGAGTTTGACGAGGAAAAAATGCGCCGTTTTGAAGACAAAATATCTACAATTTAAAACTCAACAAGTAAATTTTCTGATTCACAATTAATTTACTTTTTCAGTTTCATAACATTATATGCTGAAGCACGCGCCTATCTGTAAGAAAAACACAAAATCTTATTTAGCGCGCGCTATGGTTTATAAAAACATGTTCTCCATTCTCTTTTGGTTCTCGTGTATGTAGCGCGCTCAATACGACGTAAGCGAAAAAGAGAATGGGCGCTGAATCCTTTTGTTTAGCTGATCGCGATAACCTTTGTTAAGAACCAAATGGTTCCTTTTTTTTTCTTCTCTTGTATACATTACGAGTTGGTGGTGGATTAAAAATTATTTTAGCACTACTGAGCCTATTACGTAATTATTTCTTGGTACAAATTCATAATTATACAATCCCTTCGAGTTCAAAATTTTTTTCTACGCTCATTTTAAATGGGGAAGCTGTACTGATATCATGCATCTTCTTAAGCTGTCGATTCAGAAAAAATAGCTGCAAATTCGGAGTATATGCATGACGTTATAACTTTTTCAAAATAATAATAATTCCAAAGAAAGGAGAGCCGAGAGCAGCCACAGCGCGGCTCTCACGAGAGAGGATTGAAGCTCATCTCGCTGATAACCGCGAATTTTAGCGCACACATATATACCGTACACATGCATATATTCGAAAAAGGCAGCGGCAGCAGCAGCGTCGGCAGCGGAATCGAAACGAGAGAGAGGGAAAACGAGAAGCGGGTTCGGGTCAATATGAGAGACCGAAGCAGCCGCCGCCGCCGCCGCGCGAGCAAGGGGAAGCGAACGAGCGCGAGCTGGCATTCCCAGGGCTTGCTGCGCAGCAGTGTGTGTAGCCGTATAACGAAAGAGTCGAACGCGTTCCCCGAGAGCAACAAGGATAAGAATATGTATAAAAAAAGAGGGGAAATATAATACGAAAGAGAATATTATCGAGTAAAACTCATGACGCCGTAGATGCCGCTGCGCATGGCGCAACTCCAGCTAATTATTATCGACTTTTACCCCCAAAAACTTGATGGATTTTATTTTTGAAAATCTGCAATACCGAAAATTCGTTAGCAAATCCGATTGAAGTTAGAATACGTGAATCACCGAGCATATAGTGCCGCTTTCATTATGGTGGATGCATAGCTTTCAATAAATGTATTGATTCTACATTCTCTTAATTAAGCACGCAAAAAGGAGTAACTTAACTAAACAGGCGGGAAAGACGCTCGGAATTTCGCGCGTTTTTATTCAAAACAATCGGGTGCAATCAAAATATCCGTAAACACAGATTTTATTCAAAGCAACTGTAAAGTCTCAAGTTAATTATAAGTATTTTATAAAAAGCTTTTTGTGATTAAACAGTTGCTTTCGACTAAGAAACATGCGACAAATATATTGAACAGCTGATGCAGCCGGTTCAGTTTGTGACGCAGCATTGACACCTGGCAATGAAAACACTTTCATGGAAAACTGTTCCTCATATATGGAGATACACTTCGGTACAGTAAGTTTTTTTTGTACGCATGCGCAATTTTCTTACTACTTCAAGGCGTTAGTTATCCGTGTACAGTGTATATAATATCAAGAAAGACAAGAGGCTAATAACCTTTTTATTTGTTCACATTAAACTCTCAACAAATAATGTAAATTAATAAAGGAAAAACAAAAGTAAGAATTGACATTTTTGATCAATTAGTGAAAAATAAATGCATGATGAGGACACACCGAAATTCCTCAATATATACGAGTGGACTCGAAAATAATCAATATGGAGCTCAATGTTTTTAATATAAATATAAATATAAGCTTTCTGTACTTTCAGCATTTTCAGTGGGATTGTAACAGGATTATAAATAAAAACATGATAATGGAAAGCAGGAAAGGAATTTTTTCTCGATTTTACAGATCCAAATATATGTATTGTATATAAGACATAAATATTTAAATTTTTATTTTAATATATAAATAAATACTCAGATTTGAAAGATTTATTGAGAATATATAAAATTAAAACTCAATTTTAAAAATGAATCCACGTTTTTGTCCCTTTTAACTGAGATTAAATAATTTAAAAATGAAAAAGCAAAAAAGGTACAAGACCAGTTACGCATAATCATTAAATCAAATTGTACCGAAGATGGATTCATTTTACTGTCAAATCAATATACACAAATGATTTCAATACATACCTCCATGATGATCGGGGTTCTCCGGCTTTTATCTGGTGCCGATGAACGGTGTATAGAAATTCAAAGTGTTTTTAGCGTTTATTTGGCTACCTGGAAAGAAAAGAGATGAAATTATTAAATGACACACGTATGTAATTGGAATAATTTGAAGAAAAAGAAATGAATAAACAGGATAATATAAATTTCTTTAAGACGCTAGTACTTCTTTTTTTGGTAAAAAGTATTTGAGGACGAGTAATTTTATAAATGTTTGTCGACGTAGCATAATAGTTAACATTACATTTTCATAATAGTTAAGGTGAATGAAAACTTTTCTCTGCTGCGCGTAGTTACCAAGACAGATAGAAAGAGTGAGATATTGTGAAAATACGATCTTAGGTACATATATAATTCAGCAGTAAAGCGGCGATATATTTTGAAATCAGCTGATCGACCGGCATCTACTATACGACGTTTGTAATAGAGCGAAACCTGACGCATTTACGGAATCGCTTCTGTAGCAAGTGTTTGTAAGATAGCATGGATCACGAATAAATTTTTGCAAGCAAACGTATAATGAATTTAGGGCATTTGCGCTTTTGAATGAACTGAAAGATATCATTTCGTATTGCCTTAGTCAATCACAGACATGAGCATCTATTTGACAGGTTTGAAAACAAAGTTCTTTTTAAATAGAAAAATTGTGGGAGAGCAATGGAAGCGATTGCTCCAAGTATGAAATTTAAGCAAAAGTAAAAGCGTTACTGGATTGCTTCGTTCTTTAGAATTTAAAATAAAATTAACATTCGATAAATCGTATACATACGCAGAGAAGAAGGCAGTATAGTGCACGTACTCAACAGCTAGTGCAACGAAATGAGCTGACGCGAACGGAAAAGCTGCAATGTTGCACACAGCAAGCAACGAGCAACGCACTTCTCTCTGCATAAGCTGGACATATATGTGTATACATGTATGCAAGCAACGGGTGTAAGCGAGGGGCTTTGGCTGCAGCAACGCGCAGAATGGAATATCCGTGCGAAAAAGACGCTTCGCGCGAATCGCTGCAGATGTCGCTAGCTTTCGGTGTCGAGACCGTCGACGCGCGTACACAAAAATACATCCTGCAAACATTTCGCTCGCAAGAGAACATAAACGGCTTTTGTATACGAGGAAAAAGGAGAGGACGTGTTGTCGTTTATTCGGTGCAAATATGCATGCGCGCGCGCCTCTTTTCATGAATTCGTACAAGCGAACGTATTAATTGGCTTTTTGTTAAAAAAAAAATCAGTAAATAATTCCACGGATACATATTTTATAATATAAGAGAAAGATGGCGTCGCTTAATAAGTTCAAATACTCAATGTATTTAATGCGCGCATCGACGTGCGTACGTAAGCGTAAATAAATATAAACAAGAGAGCAAGTCCCAGCAGTTGGACGCGCGTACACAAAGTGCGTCGCAGTTGTCTGGTGCATAAGCGTATCCATTGGTGCTTCTTTAGAGAAGCACTTGTACGCGTTCCCGATTTCATTGCTTTGATTTGCAGTGCTTGGATCGGCAGTAGGGTCTCGGTTACTTGGCAGCGTGGACAATGTACACTGAGAGAGCGCGAGCTTTTTCGGAGCAACTCGGTGCACATACGGAGCAGCGGGCTACCGCGGCACATCGGGCATCGCGCGGCGCGCTCGACGGTCTGCAAGTGGCAGAAAAAATTGCGATTAAAACGCAGAATACTATGACAATTTGCCAAAATGGCGGCAAAAGTGGAATCGAGCTGTGCAAATGGCACGGCACACGCAAGAAGCGTCAAGCGCCTCGGAGAGGTGACAGACACAAAGAAAGACAACGGCGGTATCATCTGCGCGTTCGGGAAAAAAATCCATTAGCTCGTTACGCGACCTGTGAAGACTGTACGTGCGCAAATGTCGCGCTTTCGGAAACGTTTTAAGAAAAATAAAAATATACATCTATACATCGGAGCAGCTACTTTAGAGGCGTAAATACACGTAGATTCATGCGTATATTCGATCGAGCTATATAGCATTGGTAGTCGCAATGGCTCGTACAAGGCAGACACACAGCAACGCCAGCAGCACAGCGCGTACGTGTATTGTATGTATATATACATACAATACACACATACAGGCTATAGAACACTCGCGCGAGCTTATATATACATTGGAGAGATACGTTGCGGAGTCGGGCTAACGGGTGCGAAAGAGAAGGAAGCATAGCAGACGATTGAGCGGTTGAGAACAGCGCGCGCTCGCTGGCTATACACTCCACCAACAGAGCGCCCTCCCCGCGCGCGCGCATTTCGTATTTATAGGTTATAAGCTTAAGAAACTTTTGCAGCGAGAGTTTTGCGAAAAATGCCTTCAAAGGGCCAAAAGAGCCTAGAGATTTGATCGAGAGAGGCATGGAGGATAGCTTGGACGACCACAGCGACGATGCGCGCTACTCGCGAGTCTTTAATGCACTAAACTTTGGCTTGCGCGTAATCGTTAGACAAGAGCAACTTGTCGTTCGCTTCGAGAGTCGAACGACGACGTTAATATATTTGCAAATCGGAGTCGATTAGAAAATGGTTCGAAGAGTAAAATAGCTTACCAATAGGTTTGGCGATATGTAGCTGATGCTTCACTGCAGTATCTATAGATGAACTGGCAGAGGCACGTAAACACACAAAGTATATATACGGGGGGTATGTATACAACCAACACAAGACGAGACGAGTGATGCACGACTACTGCTGTTACTGGCTGTGATCAGTGCCTATGCTATGCTTTGCTGCTTGCTGCTGCTGCTACGTACAGCCTGTGCTCAGTGCTGTGCTCTCTGTGTATAGCAGTAGGATAGGTAGGCTATAGCGCGGGCAAGAGAGAGAGAGAGAGAGAGATGCCTATGCCGTGCTGCTGCTATGTTCTCTCTGACTCTGTCTGTCTCTGTTGCTCTCACGCACTCGTCGTTCGACTCGGCAGTTTGGAGCACGGGCTATATGCGTTGCGCTGCTACTTGGCCTGTGCTGCTGCTTTTGCTTGCTTGCCTGCCTGCCTGCCTGCCTGCCTGCTATAATCCCCACTCTGTCTGTCTCTCTCTCGCTCGTTCTGACACACGCTCTATGTATTCGCATATATCTATATATATTCGCTATATACACTGCACGAGCCCGTGCTGCAGCAGAGCTGTGTGTGCTGTGCGCTCAATGCTTTCTCTCTCTCTCTCTCTCACCCAGTCATTCTCATTCGCTCGCTCTTTCTCTCGCCAACTTACCGTCTGTATGCTCCGTCTCGCTCGCGCTCAAAGCCCAGCGATATATATTCCTATATACTTGTGTGTTGCCTGCTGATGCTGCTGCTATGCTATGCTGTATATACTGTGCTATGCCGTGCCGTGCTCCGACTTTCTGCGCCAAAGAGTGCGAGCGAGACAGAAGCGGAGGGAGTCGCGTATACTGCGTATTATATATCCTCTCCCGCTCCCACGCTATATATGTATATATACCTACGTATATGCTCGCACACATATGAACATAGCATACATACATATGGACGTAAAATACATATGAGTATTGCGTGTATTCTCTTTCTTTCGCTTACTCGTTCAATGTATATATCCTGCCAGTACACAGCTGTGTGTGTGTGCGCGTGTGTGTATGCGTCTGCGACTGCCAGGCTGCTTCTATGTGTGCCGTCACACGATTTCTTTTTCTACCTTATAAATATATACATATATAAAAGTACGTCCGAATGACTAACGTATATCTATATAGTTGCCCACGTTTATACGCTTATACTCGCATACTGTACGCAGTATGTGTATTATAGGTATACGTATATATACCTATATATATTGCGCAGCGCTTCGCCTGGCCTTTACTTTAGCGAATACATCGCGCTTAAACGCACACGGCGCATATACACACGTATGTTACCTATAATGCGCCAACTACGTAAGCATGCTTGACGCGGTTTTATATATACATACATATTATATACTTTTTTCTCCTGTATGCAGATACAACATGGAAGCTTACCTAAAGCTATACATACTGGGAAATTAATAGTTGGATACGTTTATGCATATACATAAATAAAAATACGTCAAGAGACACTGAAAAAATTTCTCATTTTCTTTCTATACTCATTATAACAGAGGATGTACTGGGAAGGGATTTTTTAATTCATATTTTTGATAAATAATACATGGACGATTCTTTATGTAATCAAAGGTACAAACAATTTTTATGAAAAACGTTACCAAAATCTATTAAAATTTTTAAAACTCTCAAAGAACCTGACCAGAAATTGAAAATTAGCGGTTTTGCTTAAATTTATCGTTTGAACAAGTGATTTTGGAAAAAAATACTCCAAAAGATTCGGAGCAGCTTGGAGCTAGCTACTACAGAGAATCAAATTAAATTATGTGACAAATTCAAAATAGTACGTATTGACAGGAAAAAGATTAAGAAAAAAAAACGAGTTTATCAACAAAGCCACAATATTTTTTTAAACATTCAATTTCACAGAAAATCAGATACGCGTATATTTCTATTATAAGGGCATGAGCTAAATAATGGGCTATTTTACAAAGTAATATCTTCACTTGCCCAGAACAAATAAAAAGTTCAAATTGTTTTTCACAAGTTATAGAGTGCGCTTTCGTCTTAGTCGTTGGCGCGCGCGCGCAAAGCCGAGCGCTTTTCCCTATGCAATGCATGTGTACGTCGAGTATGTATATATACAACCGTTTATACGTAATTATGTAGTATCGCATGGTATAGTGTGCATAGAGGCCATGCATGCAAGCATTAGTGCACGATACGTACACAAGCACGGCCGAAGCAGCAGTGACGGTAGGCGCATAGAGCACGCAACCTTCGATCGACCGAAAAAGTGCCAAGAGCCCGAATAATCGCCAATCGATGACTTAAAGTGTGGACGGTTTAATCGGTACTTTACATGGATTCCCGCAACATTCCGAAAATGATCGTTTTAACAATGAAAAATAAAAAAAATAGACGAATGTCTTTGCCTCGAACACACCAAGTTTACATATCAAGTACATATATACACACGGAGCAATACATTGATAGACGCGCAGAGCATTGGTACAAAACGAACCACAAGCAATTGTATATACTGCACAAATTTTTTTAGTTATTCTTCGCTACGACTTTATTTACACGTTTGAAATTGTTCCAGCTAATGAAAATATTGGCCCACGAGTTGAGCGCTCAGACGAATATTTTTTTGCGAATTGTCTATCGTTCAAAGTTGCGCGCCTTGAATCTGGCAAAACACTGCGAAGAGCTTAATATTATATACATATATACCTACGAGACATGCCGACATTTTAATATGCAGCAGCAACCACACATGCGCCCGACAGCCACTGCACGACGGCTGTGTACATCGCATTGGACATGATCAACAGTAAAATGTATAAAAATTCATCAGGCATCGTAGAAGAACAATTCTTTGGTCGATTACGGAGAGCAAATGATGAAACGACAATCGAGTAAAAAGTCAAAAGCCATGAAATCGCGAAAGAAAGATTGATCTGCTGTTGAGCTCGGGTGCAGTACGGTTTGCATCGCTCATCTTCCAACGGCTGCGTGAACGAATAGAACGCACGCGCAGGCACACAACAGTGATACACATATAATATTCACGCGCAGACGATATAAAAAGCTAAAGGCACACTCGGAGCGAGATAGAAGCCTAAACGCATACACGCATCAATGTAAATATATACGTTATACTCGTGCGCATGTGTCCATCATAAACTCGAATGTATGTGCATACACAAGCATGTAAAAGTACACGCAATCGCGCACACACTCACTCTCAAATGTGTTTATAAAAATATTTCACCGCACAGCCATTTGCTCGGCAGTCACTGCTGCTACCTATACCCGAGAGTGGCAAAAGCTTAACTTAGCTTTTGATAGAATGCGAAAAGCTTGAAGCTGAAGTTGGACCGAAGAAATGGGTGCTACTTTTAGGAGATGTAAGTTTGAAAGAAAAAAAAAAGGAAAAAATTCGAAATTCGACTGGCTGTTACTTGTCACGCGGTCGAGGTCATTTTTATTCATTAATTGGAAAGCAGCTTCGGCTTTATGCACTTCAGTGCGAAGCCACAAATACATTATGAATATATATTATACACGCGAAACAGACAGAGAATAAACGCGAGCGAGAAAAAGAGAGATAGAGATATAGAGCGAGCGAGACAAGCGCATATGTGCTACTCGCGTGTTATCCGTCTCTTTTTCTCTTGCGCGAAGCAGCATCAGCAGCAGCAGGCAGTCAGAGACACCGACTGTATAGTGTACATACAAAGTATTATATATATGTGCCTGGCCTGTGTGTGCCATGCTATCTCTATTTCGCTCTTACATATGCGCGAGACGTATTATATGTAAGTATCGCGCGCTCGGCATATAGAAGTCGCGCACACACTTGGCGCGGGTTTATATCTTATCACTAAAAGTGTAATACACGTCGCGACTTTAACCTGCTGTTATAATACGTGTATTTGCAAATAACGCACAGAAGCATCTGCGTTCGAGATTTTATACTTTTCTTCGTTTTTCGCTCATGATGATTTTCTCCCGCGAGATCGGTACAGAACAAAAACAATAACACACGAGCAAAGGAGCGCTTGCCGTTAAACACGTAAATAACAAATACCGGATGGAATATTTACTTAACGTATTCGCGCAATTGGTCGAGAAAAGTCGACAAACGAAACAAAGGGACTGAATATTATAAGGATAATTCGTTGGCACTTGGTCGAGGGAGCAAAATGTTGCGATGATTTGAAAGAGACTTACCACTTCTGTCAGACGAGCGGCTGATTACGACAAGAAAAGTCCTGCGATTGGCCTTTTTCCTCCAATGATGATTTATATCGCGTAGTTTTTATCTGCACATATAAACGTAAGCTTCGATAGTCACATATATCGAGTGGATGTACAAAGCAGTATATATAGATGTATATATATGTTATATATATATATGTTGTGAACGAGTGTATATATGGTGCAGAATATATCTATATGTTTCAATACAAACTGTTACACACAACAGTATATCATGAGCAAGACTGATCGGCGCGCGCTCTGACTCCTTACTACAAACTCGGTATGTATGTGCTGGTGATGGTGCTTACTGCTTGCTGGCAGAGCTGCTGCTATGCTATACGTTAGGCGCGTGTATATCTATATCGGAGCGCCGCTGCTGTTGCTGCTGCTGACGCGATGTTGTGCTGCTGCTGCTTGGGCTATATAGCAGCTCCAAACCGTATATACGCGCGCGAGAGAGCCTCGTTGAGCTCGCTCCGTCTCTTTCCGTCGCATAGGGTCGAGGCGTAACGACGCCGAACGCGCGCGCGCTCGCTCCTATATACGCGCGTGTAGATAATATTGTACGTATATATAAGCGACACTGCCAACGAATGGGAGAGAGAGAGAAAAGACCTCGTGCGTGTATACGCGCGAATATATATACGTATACACGAATACAAATATAGGTATATATACTGGGGCAAAGCTGGACGATGACGAGAGACTCGCAGGTTCTGAAAAGAGTATAGAGCGTGCGCTGCACAAGCAAAGCCATATCCCTTGCGGCTAAGTGCAAGCGGGACCCGTGCCATGTATACGCGCGCACCAACGCTGCCAGGCTATATACCTTTATACGTACATGCTCTCGTGCGCCTCTATACCTATATACGTTCTCGGTGATGGGCATATACAGATATACACGGGCTGCTGCTTACTGTCGAGAGCTCGCTTGGGTATTCCAGTCCGTATATACGGTTATATATGTACATCGCCTGGCGCGCCGCTTTCTGTAGCATGTAACGAGAGAGAGAGAGAGAGAGAGAGAGAGAAAACGAGCGCGCCGGAGGTTCTTTTATACACACGCATCCATACGTAGCTATACGGCCTGAACCAACTACGGATGCGTGCGTAAAGTTAACGCTCTTTCTATACCTATATAGTCTACACTTTGAGAGAAGCACTCGCAAGCCACATGTACGGTATACAGGTATATAAATAATACATGTAACGTATACTGGCAGCGCTGGCAATGTAGGCATGGCTCGTGTATCTATAGTTATACACGTACAGTAGAGCAGACTTTTCAAAGGGCCGACTGCAGCAGCGAGCCCGCGAGTATATACCGAGCTTTACGGCCTAAGTACCTTATATACAAAGAGCAGCGGCCACGCGGCATTGGTTGCTTTCGTTTAAGCCACAAAAAGCTGACCAATCCCGTCGCGTCTCTCATTTCGCACGGACGATCTCGCGAAACGCCAGTAGACTGCGGCGCCGTATAGCCGTTCTGTGTGTATGCTGCAAGTATGTATGCGCTTGTAACGTTGCCTCGATCCCTACCACCAGCGACGAGAGCGAACGCGCAACGCTCGCGCTCCGACTCCATTATACGTCCTCTTCTCTGCGGCTATATACATGCAACTCTATATAGCTATATAGCGCAAATATGAGCGCAGCCGTGCATGGATATCTATATAGGAACGGACGCATCGAGCCAACAACGTCGTTGAAAGCGTTGTTCGCAGTCCCCGAGCCCGCCAAGCCGACGTTGCAATTGCCTTGCGCTTGCGCGCTCTCTGAGGCTTTGCATTTCGCGCACTCGACGATTCAAACTTTTGCATTTACGTTGAAACACTCGCGCGCATTGGACGCAGCGAAAAGGGCGGGAAACTTTACTGAAAATGTCCGTTGCGCGCTGCTATACTTGCCCCGACTTCCCTAATAGCTTCTCTTTGTGTTTGCTCCATGTTTACATTCTTTTTTATCTTTGTTGTTGTTGTTGTTGTTGTTGTTGTAGATGATGTTGTTGCTATTATTATCATCGCCACTGCGTGTTTACGATTCGCGCCCACCAACTGCTTCTGTGGCAGTATCGTAGGGCAGCAGCGAATCAACGCTCGTTTCCTCGTGTATATGCGCGCGAACAAATACACGCGTACGAGTCAATTTGCGCAACGCGTGCACTCGACTGTTTACTTCAACCGTAATACTTGTACGTGATATCGACCGAATTGCCGACATACGTGCAAATTTCGTACGTGCGGACGCGAATCGTGCTCGACAGATTATGATTTTTCAATTACACCAAGGGTCGTTTGCCGTGCGTTGAAGACGACCGTTACCTGCCTAGGCGCTGCACTCGGCTTCAGCTTCTATCGGACTCAATGATTTGCTCTGCACCCTTCGCAATCTAGATAAAGCTCGACATTACCATCTATACATCGATGACGAGTGACATGTACAGTAACATTTTCCTTCAAAATTTTTAATTTACCGGACTTTAGTTTTTAACGACGGTCGGCAAAAGTGTCGATTGGCTAAACTTGCCAACAATTATGCCACTAATTACGATGCGCTTGAGCTTGTCTTGCTTCGCGTCGACGATACACATTCAATACCCGGTAATCGCATGTGACGATCACATGATAATGAATATTTACAGAGTCTGAACTACGCATGATGCAGTACCGGCGCAACTGAGAAACATCCCGTTCGCGGTGAATGGGAATTTTATTCGAAATCTCAGGCCTCGTTTATACCAAATACTAAAATAAGATCGACCCGATTGTATTTGTTTTGTTGAGAATGAAAATTGTATGCGAGCACGTAGTGTGACTGTAAACACAATAACCCTGCCACATCTCAATGATTGAACCCTTTCATTCAAGTTGTACAATCGAATCGAATATCGTTCATTGGTCTTGGTGTTTTTTAAATCTTCAAAAATTTTTTTATACTCTGCTGGCTAGGTGTTACCGCACTTCATGATATCATGATGATGAAAATATATTACATCAAGTTGCGACCAAATGTTGGCGCAAAAAGATGTTCCTTAAAACCAATTACTAGACACTTTTGATCTTAACTTTACAACTCTTGAACAAGATTTTGAAACTTATTTTAATGTTATCAACGTTGAGAGAAATATTTTTCGAGTTTTTATTATTAAAAAAAAAATTTCAATTATTTGCCTGAATTTTTTTATATAATGCAACGCTGAATTGTTTATATGTCACAAAAAACTGTGTAGAATAGTGATCGAGTACTAAAACTTGCTAATTGGCTAGTTGCTGGTATAGTCATTCTGCATCATTGGTACAAAGTTGAATTTATAAATTCCCGTTTTAATTTCTTATTGTGCAGGTGCACAATTGTGGACAGTAGAAAAAATATAATTTTGAAAAAGTGTACGTACGAAACGGCTATACGGGTGACATCTAACGCAGGACAGATCGTCGCTCACGCTATGCACAGGCTGCCACCCCACTAACAACAAATTATGTTCTTTGGTCGCAAGTAGTGTATTCTGACATATAGCTGCTCGTACACTGAGCGAACGTAACACATACACATTTACGACGTGTAAATGGAGTGCAGTCGAGATCAATTGCAGCAACAAGACAATATGTCGTTGATCGTCGTGTCAGAGCCCAATCGACACTGCCGTAACTGCCGAGCTCCAAGTGCATTCCGACGAAAGGGAAAATCGTATCGAGTTAACTGGCTTCGTTTTCTGCTCCATACAACGACTCAACATCCATCATCAAGCTCTATAGTCGTATTTACCTGACATGATCAATATCGAGCGAGTTTCAGCGTGGCAAGGTTGGTCAGACTGCGTTGGTAGGCCAACTCGGTGCTGCGCATATCGCAATTCGTACTTCGTAGTATGGTAGCGTCAACGTTGCCTGTGCGTTCGGCGTTTCACGCATCCCAAAGCCGCCGCCGCCGTCGTGAACTCAGTTTGGAGCACATAATGGACGAGAGCTGCGGGCCGGGCGCACACGCCCCGCCAGACTCGGCCTCCATTTTGCTAGCGCAGATTCGTAATAGCAACCCGTCACCCGCCAGAGGACGCTGATGGTAGCGGCTCCCTGCTAACTTTACAACAACGCCTTCGACGACGCAGTGCAGCGGACGGATCAGCTCCGGTGGCCGACTTCGTGCTGCTTCCCACGATGGCCTGAAGATGGCTTGGTGCTCCCTTCGATTCAAGTTTTGCGATCTAGCTTCGAAAGCCCACCACTGCTCTCGAGGCACAAGCGTGCGCCACCGTGCGTTCAGCGTTGCACGATACGGGATACCCACGGATTAATACGTCCGCTGACTATCGAGTGTGAGTTTCCTTTCAGAAGATATTTTGCCGCGGCTAAAATTGTTACACTATAAGAACAGTTCTTCTTCATCTGCATGTAGGGTGTACGCATACATTCAGTGTGAAGTTTAGTTTTTAGTTCGTAGTCGTTCTTGTGTCTTCATATATAGTGTCAACTTGCCATTGCTAAGTTTCTTTTGACATTTTGGCAATTATCTTCAACCATTCGATCCCATTTGTTGCGATGAAAAAAATTGTCTGCATATTGCTGCCTACGACGCACTACTCTTATTAGGGACTCGATTTAGTTTGAGGCCGGTTCATCTTCATCTCCTGCCTAACCGAACAAAGTTCCACTGATCTTTGACAGCGTGTAGAGTCTCCATTTGCACGTACAACGCGCTTTAAACGTGTATTTCCTACACGACGATACGTCATACATAGACTTTCAAAATATTTCACTTGCTTACTCGTTGGACGTGGACAAACAAATTAATATTTTCTCGCGCTAACGTAGCCCTAGTAAAAAAAAACTAAAAGACCGTGCTTAAAAACATTAAACATGAACGGTTTCAGTACGGGTGAAGAGGATTCGCGAGGAGCAGCAGATCAAATTTGCTGTCTCGTTGATGATGGCTCAAGGTGTACCAGAGTTGCTGGTAATGCATCCTACAGCAAGAGAATACAGAAAACCGTCACGCAAAGGAGGTTGAAACTCTGCATTGACAATCATGTAAGTACAAAACTTCCAAGAGTTCCCTCTTCGTCAATAAACCAAAATTTCACTTTTTCCGGATCCATGTATTAAAACAAGTTTACATCTTATCATTCACTTGGAGAACTTTTTTCATCAATTATATCCAACAAACGTTTTCTTGCCTATTTTAAATACCAAGCTTCTCGTTTATACCTGTTTTCATCTGTCCTTTTTTTAGGTATTTTTAAATAATAAATTTAAATAAACATTGTCAACTTTTTTAAAAATGAAATCTATCACTAGTCCTTTTTACATTTTTATCTTTCTACAACTCAAACATTTTCATCACAGGTAAGGCATATGTACATATGTGACTACCATAAGCAAGTAATTCAAAGTGCTCGTACTAAACAACATCAAAGAAGGCGAAAAGATTCAGAAGAAGATTCTGGTGAAACGGACAATGATGTTCCTGAAGTTGATTTATTTCAATTGCAAGTTGGCACTCTTAGGAGGTACAAGCGTCATTATAGACTAACTACGAAACCTGGCATAAACAAAGCTCAACTAGCAGAAGTGAGAAACATTTTTCATTAACGTACCAAGTAATTAAAACATTTTAACTAATTTTATGTGTTCCAGATTCTTATGAAACATTTCAAGTCCCTGCAAGTAGTTGAAAAAGATGTGTTAAGTTATTTCTTTTACACAGTGAAAACCAATGCCAATAAACTAGATCAAAAAAATGGCCTAAACAACGATGCAACATAGCTCTACATTTTATTTTGAATGTTAGTATTTGTAATATTGTGTAATGATATATCTAGAATATTTAGATTATTCAACTTATAAAAAATTGATAAATGTAAAATAGGCATTTTATTATTGATGTAAGTGTAAGATATTATGAAAATAACTATCAGTAAATAATAGTCTTTAGGTTAATAAAAATGAATGTATATTCATGGTAATATTTAATTTTAATGACAAGTTGTAATGAAATAATGTTTATACATGCAAGATAATTGTTAATTGTACAAATATTTACATAAACTTATAACAATAATTATTCCAAGTCTAATTTACTTAAAACTGTAGTTTCTTCTTCCTCACTATCTCCACCTAGATCTGTAAAATGAAAAAAAAAGCATTAAAATCTTCATATTTTTTTATAAAAAAAAAATGCTTCATTACCAATAGTTTCAGCAGGAGTTTTTTGACGATTTTTTACTTCTACAAATTCAACATCTTGCCAATGCTCAAATTCATTATCAGATGAATCTGAGGAGTGCCACATATTTTTACCACCTTCTGCGATATTGGACTAAAAACGGAATAGTTGAGTTGAATAGTAACAAAATAATTAAATTAAAATATCAGTTTATCTACCTCTTTTTCATCTAGCATTATAATTTTCTTACCTTTGACATTACAAGTTCTGCAGTACCATTTCCTACATTGATAATTTCACTTTTTTCTTCATTGACAGGATCTGTTTCCATAGAACATGAAACTTCTATTCAAAAAAATATCAACTGTTACTTCATATATAAAAAATTTCAACTTGAATAAATTGTATGAATTATTTTACCTTCATCTGCCTGGTTGTAATGATTCCATGTCATTAATTTAATATTAATACGTTCACTGATCATGGAAGTAACCTTATCAGTAGCAATGCATTGAGCAAATGTATTCATTTCAGGAACTTCTTTTTTATATCTGTAAAATATTACTTTTAGAAATTTATATTAGAGCAGAAAATATCTACATTGAAATATATATTACTTGGCTTCCACATCCTGTCTAACCAGCTCTTTTACTTCTCTAATAAGTTCATATGCATAATTAGCAGCAAAAGTTGAGACAGAAGGAATAACATCGGCAACCAAGGCAGTATTTTCCATGTAATCAAAATATAAACTACAAACTTCTCTGTGGGAATTGAGAGTTAAAGTGAAAATTGCAGTCCCAACTCTTTCTTCCAAATATGAAGGATCTACAACGGTTTTACCACTGAAATTGTGAGAATTTTTAATGTAAAAAGTAGAACATTTTTTTTTTTTAAAAACACTCACTTCTCAAATGTTATAAAAGATATACAGATTGGGTGATGATAGAGTGTCAAAGGTAAAGGATCCTTTTCTGTAAAAGAATGTACTATTACTTCTTCCCCTGTGGATGTGACATCTGGCCTATGAAAATGCATGAGAGCTGCTAATGCAGCAATAGCAGCACAATCGATTAAATTTCCATCATGGTTGATTATCGTTATATCCACCCTTATATTCCAAACCTGCAGAAATAGAATTGAATGAAGATTCCCAAAATGCAGTTTACAGATATTAATTAATTTTATGGATTTAATGCAAACCTTTTTATCAGCTACAATACATAAAGACTCCAAATCCACACATTTTGATTCTTTCAAACATTTTTCTAAAATTCTGTTGATAACTGCAGTAGCTTCCGAACTTCTACTACCATCAAAATGTTCAGCAGCCAAAGGACTTAAATTTACACTCACATATAGCATTCCTTCGTTAGGACGAGCAGCTTTTGGTGTTTGAATATCGCAAGAAACTTGGGCTGTTGCTCTAAAATCATTGCAATTAAAATATAAAAGTAGTAATTCACTAATCACGCTTATTTTTGTTTTACCTTGTTTGTCCTAATGAAACCAAACATGATCCCCATTTTGCTCCAAAATTTATTTTAAGTGGTCTTGGTTCTAATAAAGTTCTTCCATCTAAGCGCTTTAAAAAATAATTGTGTCATTAGAAATAATATTCTAATTCTAGAGATATCATAAAAAAATATGAAAGTTGTTAATTTCAATCAGTCTTAAATGTCATAATTAGTCGTAGATTAAATGTATTAGCCGTGAAATATAAAAAATATATGGACAAGGAGCGGTTTAAAATAAGAACCAGTATCAAAGCAATTACAAATTATTTTGACATAATGAAATAGCTGTGGTATTATAGTTTCTAAGATAAACATCAATTTACTTACAGTATCTGCGAGGATCGCTTTGTTAACGAAATTTTTTTCACAAGTTGAAATGTAAGTCTCCTTCATTTTTTAATAAAAACAACTAACTAATATTCACGTGAGTTTTTCTTTTTTAAACGTTGTTTCCTTTAAAATAAGTGTAAGATTGAAGTGTTAAGTTAAAATTAATTGCAAGGTTATAATAAACATGAAAGCACGTGTGACATTAGGGTATATGCGCTATAGCGTGTCAGACAGAGACTTGTTGCCAATCGCCACCATGAGTTTATGTAGATCACCTAAAGCATACTGACAAGTCGTTTTCCAAGTTAATGGACATTACCACCATAATTGGGATCGTCAAATTATTTATTATCAACTTAATTTAGATCTAAATTGATAAAACCATATTAATCGATAGCAGTTTTCATCATAAAATGAAATGCAATATAAATTTTTTATTCATTTTATTTTAATAAAACTAGACGAATCATTTGATGGCTAGACGTTGTCAATTATTTTCACAATTTACTTATGCATGAAGCAAATTAAAAGATTTAGTTTTTTTCAATAACTATTTTTCTAATAATTTTTCTAATAATAATTCATAATACACTTAGTTTTAAATATGCGCGCTCACATCAAAATGAAATCTGCAGACTACAAGTTCAATTCTCTGCCGAGAGCGTCGTCACTGGTCTGCACTTTGTCTCCATCTTTTTCATCTTGCAGTAGCTGCTGGATATGTGTGTGTATACTGTGTGTGTAGTGTATATGTGTGGTTAGTCAGTCGTATGTAGCGTAGCGTAGCAGTTGTGGCGAGGCCATTGAATTAGATCAAGCTTGGAGACATCCATGATCCAACACTTGTTTTTGTTCAACTGCAAAACAGTCCCATCACATTGTTGAGTGATTATAGTTGCTCGAACTTAAGTTAGTTAATCAATAGCAGTTAAAGTGTAGATAGTGAGAAAAGCACAATTTTTACAAGGAGCTGCGAGTTAATTGCATTACTCGAGCCATGGGAACGAAGGAAAATTCATCGATAGCAGCTCACGCTGCCACGAAGACAGCTGCAGCGGCTACTGGACAACAACAACAACAACAGCAGCAACAACAGCAGCAGCAGGGCAGCACGACTTCTATTCCCCCAGCCCTTCAGAAACCCTATGGTCAAATAATGCTAACATTGCAAAACGTTCTTTTACCAAAAGACAAATTGGCTGCTACACCGTCCAGCCTCGATGGCTTGGATTCCGATACAGAAATTGACTTGCGTATACTCGGCTGTGAATTAATTCAATACGCTGGAATTCTCCTTAGGTTACCTCAGGTACGTTTATTTTATCTCTATATTATATTTAATTTCGATAAAGCTTACTTGTAGATTTTTGTTTCAACCTAACCTAAATTCAATTGATCTCTCTTTTGAGTTTTGCATGATACAAAAATCCCTAGGTTCCACGATAAATTCTTAGCTAAATAACTACTGAACTTTACTCCACTTATATTGAAATCCTAGTTGAAATATATCTTATTTATCGTGCTCTTCTATTTTCTGTATTCTATTTTTCTATGAATACTATCTATATATGACGTCAATTAAAAAAAAATGTATCTTTTAAACATGAGGGCAATTCTATTGCTTATGCCATTCCATTTCACTGTTTTTAAAATAAAAATTCAAAATACTTTTTTTTCCTCATCAAAAGATTCCTGCTGGTAGTGGGATTTATTATTTTTATTAACAAAATAATGTAATTAGATATTATTATATCTCAGATGGGTAATGTAGAATCATTTATTTCATTTATAAAACTTATAGGGCTTATAAAGTTTTTATAAAATAGTGTAAATGCATAACATTGTAAATAACTAATAATAATTGACCAGGATTTTAGCCACATATTAACTCATTTATTATTATTTTATAATTGAGTATTTTAAAAGTACTACAATATTTATATCAATTATTGTTAAACTTAAACAGTAAGTTCTTTAGTTTAGTCTGCTTATCTCATGTGTAAACGCACCCATGGTATCAAAAAAATGTTAATTCTAAAAAATGTTAATTCTATATTATAGCGCGAAAAATAACAAGTCCCAATAACTTCAACTATGACATTTATAATGTATTAGCTTTTAGGAAAAATACAAAATGTGTTGCATTGGGTCAATTTTAATTGTTTTGCTATCCAAAAATATAAATTTTTCATATAAATCATTTATAACACCATAATTGGTATTACCATTAAAAGGCTTATTTTTATTTCTATTGCAGGTTGCTATGGCTACGGGGCAAGTAATTTTCCAGAGATTTTATTACAGCAAATCACTCGTCAGGTATGACATGGAAACCACTGCTATGGCCTGTGTATGTTTAGCTAGCAAAATTGAAGAAGCTCCTAGGCATATTAGAGATGTCATCAACGTGTTCAATCATATAAAACAAGTACAAAGTCAAAAGTAAGTATCTTTTACTTATTTTAATTGTTGGAAAAAACATGAAAATTTTTAAAAACCTCAATCTTTTTGAATTGATGTTATGGTAATTTTATACTACCAGAGCAAGTAGTTGCTGTAATATACAATATATTCATTTATAAATCTAAATTATTGGACTCGAAATGATATATTATAAATTACTTGCTTGTGAAAAATAATTTTTCATAAAATATTTTTCAATTCAATTAGGCTTATAACTTTCTTTAACAAAATGTAAACATTTCAATGATTTTTAACAGGGTGAGTTCGGCATAGTGCTCTGGATACTTTAGAGTATATATACATGTAAGCATCTAAAGAAGCTCAAGCAACTCAAGAACAGCTCTCTTGTTAAAAGCCAGAGGCTCCAATTATTCAAGGCTTGCAGCTCAGACATTAAATGGATTTGAGTACAGATAATTTTGTCTGTATAAATATGTAAAAAAGAGCAATGGTCTGGAAGGTTATTAGAGCAAGCAAATCTGATAATTAGAAAATTAGCAAACTTACTCTTTTATTTCATCATTATTGATATGTATTTGAGAAATATTTCATTAATATTTTTCTGAAATTGATTTTCTCCTGAGGTTTAGTTTGTAAATTTTCTATTTATAGATTTGACTTGTGGACAGTCTTCAGAGAGAAATTCAATGATTCTAACCTTTAAAAAAATTTATTATTAATCTTATTCAAAGTCCTATGTTCCAGTGTATTCAATTATTGGTAATAATCGGGATAAGTTAAAAAATTTTATATTTTATTTTTTTCAAATAATTTTTTTGTATATTTTAAACCTTCAAATCATTTAACAATAATCTTTGGTACCTTGTTTATATGTTCCAAGAACCAGTGATCTCAAAAATCCATTCAAGAGCAAGCCGATGGCTTATAAAATTCTTCTGTTGAAATTTCAAAACTGTAAGTAAAAATTTATATATAATGAATTTCTTGGATAATTGGTTCTTGCATCATAGTAACAATGTACATTGAAAATTGAATGGGCACCAGTCAGAGGTAAACAGTGCGTTTTATACAGTGAAATATTCTTCAGAGTTGCTGGGTAATCCATAGGTTGTATACCACTTGAGTACCATCATATTTATATCAATCACAATATTATGTCATTGTAATTTCACCTATGATTACATGTCATTTTTTCAAGGTTTTGAGTGGATAAGATAATTTTCTACTCGTAAGTTTCCACGAACGCCATACCAAAACTCACCTTGTAAAAGTCTTCCAAAAATCTATCTCAGTTATACAAATTCAACCAAACTAACTCTTATTACTTAATTCTATAATAAATTCTTTTCTTTTTCAGAACCATACAGCCTGTGATACTTGATTCAAATTATGTAGCTCTGAAGAACCAAGTGATCAAGAGTGAGAGAAGAGTTCTAAAAGAACTGGGGTTTTGTGTCCATGTCAAGCATCCACATAAGATGATTGTTGTTTATTTGCAAGTTCTTGGTTATGAAAAAAATAATCAGCTGATGCAGCTTAGTTGGAACTACATGAATGATTCCTTGCGCTCTGACGTCTTTGTAAGATATGAACCTGAAACTGTTGCCTGTGCCTGTATTTATCTCAGCGCTAGGCAAATAAAGTTGCCTTTACCCATGAAGCCTGCGTGGTTTAGCATTTTCAAAGTAGTTGAAGCTGACATAAGAGATGTTTGCAGAAGTATCTTGAGATTATATGCTAGGCCAAGAGTGAAGGCTGAAGTTCTTGAAAAGAAAGTTGATGAACTGAAAAAAAAATACGAAGAAGCAAGAACAAAGGCTAGAGCAGTTGAAACAGGCGCAAATACCCCCAGTCCACCCTTGGGTAAAGGACATGGAAATGCTTGGGGTGGATTTATTAGTAGAAATCCCAATACTTTACCTGCAACTATAAAATCACCAAAGTAAGTAAAAGTTTTCCATTCTCCTAAATATGAAGCTAGTAATTACATCGTTTTTTAAAACTTTTTTTTGACACTGTTAACTGTTATTTTCAGGAATAATAAATCGACGTCAAATACACCTGAACGTGTGGACTCTATGAAGCATTCCAAAAGAAAACGTCACAGTCGTAGTAGATCGCGTAGTCATAGTCGCTCACGAAAAACTAAAAAATCATCGAGGCGGAGATCTAGCAGTCACAAATCATCACGAACTCATCGAGATTATAGATCGAGGAGTCGGTCACGAGATCGATCTACTAAACGAAAACACAGTAGAAAAAATTAAATGAACATAGATCAATTTTACGGAATGATGCTAATATGTAAATTTCAGTTCTGTCAATGAACTCAACAAATCTTCGATTTATTTTTCAATTGTAATTTAATAGAGCATGAAAGGCTCATAAAAATTATGATTTATTTATAATAATTTGTGATCGATGTTTTTTTGTAAACCGGATTTTTGCGAAAATCGAAATTATTTTTATGACACAGAATTGTGCTCAAACGAATTGAGCCTTTCTATCTACGTGAGTACAGAAATAAAATTACTGTAAATATTCTAGTTTTTCGATCAATTTCTGTACTGTGAACGCAAAAGAGCGTAAATTCACAATAAATGTGAGCCTTTTAAAATTCTTTTGTAAAGTAAAAGTAATTTTGTACGATGCTTTGAAGCAAATGTAAGTTTGAAAAGTTAGCTTCAACTAAATCACAGTAAACATATTTGACTTGATTTTGAAGAAATTTTTATTGCTGAGAAATTGTTTGTTTGTGTATGATGTAACTTTTTTTGAAATGGAATCAAGAAATATGGATAATTATAAGGCGCGTTGCGAGTTTACGAAAACTTTGAGAAATTAGGAAGGAATTGGTGTATTGACCAAGATGTAAGATGTTAATTGATAATTATTGTAATAAAAATAAAAGCAAAATAATTGGTATTTATTCAACATGCACCATTTTGTAAAAGCCCGGAGGCAAAGCTCTCCTTCGCTCGTAGTCGATAACCGGTGAAAAGTCTAAATTCTGTATTTGTGGCAGTATGGCTACTATATATTGTCGATAATCGGGTTTACGCTCGATCGGATTGCCGTGCAGGGTGAGAGTACGCAGGCTCTTCAACTGGCGCAACTTGACGATACTCTTCATATTTTCTACGCGATTGCCGTGCAAATAGAGTATACTAAGGCTTTGGATCTTGAGCAAATCGTCGTCGATGTCTTCGATGCGGTTGTAGGACAAATCGAGCCAACGGAGCTCGCGCGGATTTTCGAGGTAACGATTGGCCAGCTCGTGCAGGCAGCAAACGTTCTTGAAGCAGTTGTTGCTCAGCCATATGGAGCTGGTGAGGTAACGATTGTGCAGTCCCTTGCCTGGTAGCCGGCCGGTACGGCTGATGCGCAGCTCCTGTTCGTTTTGATCCAACAGATCTGTCGGACGTTGATATTTTGCATGCTCATCGTCGTCACGATTTTGCCATGAGAATCGCAGCTTCGCCTACTTACCTTTGACGTTGCGAGCCTGTTTGAAGGATAGGTCGATCGGGGCACCTGCGTGCATCAATTCGCTCGCTTCGCGATTGTAAGTTGCGTGACTGCTGTATACAATTTTACTCATTTTCCTTTTTATCAATCGGTACAACGTAATATAAAAAAACAGTGCTATGAGCAGTAATGTAAGTCGCGAGTCTCCCAAATTGACAGATACACACTTTTATTCAAATTTTTGTCATAACCAAACAAACAGCTGAGTTGGTAAAACTAGAGTATACGAACAAATTTATACAGATTTTTATTTTTTTATCTCCAATTAAATCATAAATAATGACCTATGGATAGAAAATTCGTTACTTTTTTATATTAAATTTATTTGTGGCCAGTCCTTGGCTTAAATAAAACTTGATGCGTTACAGCAAGTTTTATTGCTTCATCTGCTTTCGTGTCTAATGGTAAGTTTTTTAATTTTACTTGTCATTCTTACATCGTCAATGGAATAATATCAGACGGCGTTTTCTTAGACGATTTTTCAAGATCGCAGACGAAGATGAAATAAAATTATTTTATTTATTTTGGCAAAATACAGGTAAGCCCGTTGAATTATAAAAGGGGGGAAAAAGATGAGCAAAGGGCGGGAATAGGGGGATAATTTAAAATGTTCAAGTATGATTAAGTAGGGTTTTGATAATAGTCGAGCGCGTGTAGATATAAGTAGGTGCTATAGGGCGCCGAGTGCTCGAGCAGTCGCAGAGTTAAATTGTCGCACTCTCCGGCGCATATAGTCTTTTCGTACCCTTATTCTTGGCCTGTATGTTTTGTGTTTCGTTGAAAATTCTAATTTCGCTCGCTTCCTCTTTCCACGATAGGTGTATGTGTGTATGTATAGGCGCATATGACTTGTTGTCTTCTTATTTCATTGCACTCGCGCAGCTATACATACGCATTTCACGAGAAGCGCAATGCGACCATTACCTCCGAGCTGTGCACGTGTGCAGCAAGAATACGTATAATATAATCATGGAAGGTTTGTTTCGTAGTGCATATGGATTTCGAGCCAAGGCAACTGGTTAACGAGTCGTTTTTCTTGCGACCATACATATCAGCTTGCTCATCAACTGTAGAATTTCATACAGCAAGCGAAAAAAATGCCTATACGCCAAAAGAGCTTTCTACGATGCATGAGCGAGGTAGAGCATTTTTCACTGTTTGGAATAGCTGCACGATATATTGTCAAGCGCAAGTCGAGCTTCTATCGTCTGGTTCAATTTTACTCGTGAGTTGGAATTTTTACGTTGGATGCGTGGCGCGACAACAATGATATACAATAACGGTCCGATGGCAGCCTCAGGAGCGTTGGTCAGGCGGCGCGTTCGATCGAACCGACAAGCAGTCTACGCGCTGATATTTTTAAAAGAAACACAGAGTCAACCTTGCTTGACATCGATGTATATCTTGGTCTATCTGCAACTTGTGCTTTTAATTTTGCGGGCCGAGCAAAACAACCATATCAGTCGTTCGAGTCAAAAGTCCACGATCAAAAGTTCGTCTATGAAGCTAAAAGGTCGCAGTTACGAAAGATAATGCTCGACTCGAGGCAAGCTGGATAAATTGAAATGGTCGAATGAACAAGTGTAGGCGGAAAGGAAATCGGTATCGCGCGGGGCATCGAGTCGAACTCGAATCCTCGTAGATGGGCGACTCGCTCGTTGCTCGGGCGAAGCGCGTCAATACGATAGGCGAGCAAACATCGTCGTTCTAAAAGATCGGCTGGTATCGCATGACATTATGGCAACTGCGATCGTTACAAAGTATAAAAATTGATCGCGCAGACCTTGGCGCATCTCGCTGTCTGGCGATCGGGTTCGCTCAGCAATGTGTGTGCGCTCGTATGCTCGTAGCATGATGTACATGAGACGCCACGTGCGTGCACAGCCACAGATCGACGGAGCTACATGAACGCAACGTCTGTATACAAGCGACGAGTTTTGTCATTTAAAAATAACACGCGGCTGCACTGCACAATGCACAAAGCTCGATAGGATTCGCTCCCGGGCGATGGTCGACTCAACTTCTCTCCCTCTTGGCGCTTCAACTACGTGCTCGAGGGTGTTGAATTTCGTTGTAGCGAGCAATTTTTATACGCATCGGACTCTCTCCCTCTCGAGCGTGAGCGCGAATTCAGCGATTAACCTAATAATAATAACAATAATGTCATTGCAAGAGCTCATATAGAATTTCTACCTGAGACGGCAACTGCGACGGCGGCGGCAGCAACGACATTTCCGACGAGGGTATAAGGCCGCATGTATGAAACATTACTGCCCGCGTATAGTAGTAGGGGCTAAACTTAGCACTTTTAGTTGCAGAGCGCGAATGGTACTTTGAGCTAGAGAAAGAGAGAGAGAGAGAGAGAGAGAGAGGCTGAGAAAGAGAGAGTCGGTGCACGATCACAGAGTAAGCTAAGCATCGTCGGACGCGCACAGTTACTTGGCAGTTGAAAACTACGGCTCCTCCTAGTCACTGTCATCGCTTGTGTTCTTGCTGTTGCTGCTGACTTGTGCTTCGTGCAGTTTCGGCTCGGCTTCTTTATTACTCTCTCAAAGGTTCGATCATTACTTTGCTCTTAATTACGTTTACCTAACTTTGCTTCGCCTTCCGCATTTCCTCGCATTTCGTTTGCTTTTTTAATCCTCGTTACTTGACACCCCATCGTGACCCGTCTTTCAACCTGTAATAAGGACATAATTCAAAGTGACAAATATATAAGCTTGATTAACGATCGAAAGGGCGAGATGGTCGATCTATAGATTTTGGCAATCGACGACAAATAACATCTCGTTCTACTTTGCGCTCCGTCTACCACTGTAGTCCACCTTGATACGCTTGTTCGTTTAAAAAATTTGTAGCCATGCTACCGGCGACCAACCACTGGCATGCATAGTTCGCCCACACCTTTGTACATTAACTTTGACCTATTGTCCTTGTCTCGCGATACTTTTTCTTTTCTTCCTCGCCTACATCGGCATTCCAACTGTCTCGCTTGCGTCTACGTGTCGAGCGGTGATCGCAAGCTCCGGTGCAGCTGCTGCAAGCTCGATCATTTACGACGTTATCCTCGCATTAATTGTTAAACACGGATCGACGTATCAATCTATACTTTTACATTAAGACTTTTTACTTTTACTAAAAATTAATACCTTCTGCATTTTTCATTTCGTAATGACGTTGATTCGTTCAACTAATCAATCATCGCTTCTAAATATTTGATGATAAAAAACATCGATCCTCGACTCTGATCAATTTTTCTCGATAAACCAACTACAAACTAACTCTGCGGGAAAATAAGTTGAAACAAGCGATCAAAAAAAGCTGAAAAGTTCGAAAGCTCGACGATAGCAAATTCAAAATTAATGGACTAATTCGAATTTGTGTTTGCGCGCGCGCTAACGAGAACATTTGTTTGGTTTTGGGTGTTCTTTTAATAGCTTATATGTTGCAGCTTGTATTGTTACAAGCTCCCGGTGCGCAATTTCGGCTGCCGAGTACTTTGGATTAGGCCAAAAAGAAAACCTTGTAAATACATTAATATGTCATCCTAAACGTATTCTATAACATAATTGGCCAACATTCGACACTGTGCGTTAGCCAATCACTCGGCACTATTTTAATACGGCTCATGATTTATCCTCTACATATACACACACACGCGCGCGCGCGCGCCTGCATGCATCGCATTGTTGTAAAGGTCATTTTCTTGCTGCGATCGATTTCACACAGCTCGACGACGATGATTTAGTTTTTTGTTTTTTTTCTCTCTCTTTTGCTTGCAGAGGCACAAGCGCATTTCCTGTTCTACTGCCTCGAGTTGAATCAACAAGTGGCTACGAGATAAAAATATGGCTTACTCCTGGGACAACCGCTGCAACTTTGTCGTCAAATATCTTTATGGTAATTAGGCCCGTACCATATCAGGTTTGCGTGCATATGTGTGTGTGTGTGTATTCAACTCGAAACGCGATTACTCCGCATCGGTTTTCCCTCGAGTCACCGCCGATTCGGTGACCAGCTAGAGAGATAACGAGCAAGAGGACTTTTGACGTGGAAAAATTCGTGGAATATTACCGGGGGGGCTATTTTTGGGCGCGAAATAATTGCCCGTGCTCGGTGTGTCAGCCGTTGCCGGCATGGTCAATTATGCGAGCCTTTGCGAAGTAATGAGTTAAACAAAGCAGCTATTTTAAAGCGAACGTACGAGTATAGAGATGGCTGAGTGGGTCCTTTTGGTCGAGCGCTGCAAAAAAGATCCGTAGCAAAGTGACGCACGGACTGCAGCAGTGGACAGGGAGATCGCGGCCCGGTTCGCGCGCAATAACGACAAAAGAAAGAGAAACGATCGAAGAGTAATGCAATAAATCGTGCAAAATGTTCTTGGCAAGAGGCATTAACGCGTGGGGTTGATCGCGAAGCGTGCGCGGCTGCCTCGAGCAGAGTAATTCAATACCGAATCAAATTAAAGGTCGCTCGCAGTGTTGGACTCTGCGCCTCGGTGTGGGTGACAATAGCGATACATTAATCTAGTGCCGAGAAGAGCGCGATGATTTAAAATTAGTCCCGTGTCTCTTTCTTCCTCCCCCGAGACTCGGTTCGATATCGGAGAGATTAAGCGCGTTTGGCAGCTCGCGGCGAAACCCATCTACGTCTATACAAAATAGGTAACTCGGTCGAACGACCAGATGAGCACGAGAGAGACGCGCAAACAATGCAAACGATCCGTAGGTGTGTAGCTGCAGGCGTATCGAGTCCCTGACAAGGTTGCGATCAAAGTATTATTAATTGGCTCGGCCGGCGGCCGTTCGGAACGTACCTCTATAAACGAGCGGCTTTTAGCGGGTTAAGGGCAATGCCATCGTTCGATCGCTCGTGCGCTGAGCTCGCAGGACACCCAACGCCACCGGCCGCGCTTCTTATCGACTTGGCTGCTCGTGCGTTGCTCCGCTAAAGCCACCCATGTCGGAATTCAAGAGCTTCGTACCAAACGGATCCTATCGTTGTTGTTTTTTTTGCATTTCATCGACCGATGGCTGCCTAACGCTGAACGATATTTAAAAAGATATTTAAAAAAATTTTGCACGTCGTTGACCCTCTGCCAAGTAATCATTTGCCAAGACAATGTATCGCTCTGCTCTTTTGATTCCGCATCCGTCAAATATATCGGATCGTTGCCGAGCTTTTGGGTGACCGTGAATCTTTGCGCCACTCTTGCTAACTTGTCCATGCAATTTCTCCGATCGCTGCCTTCTTCCTGCACGCAGATACCGACAGCAATGGAGTGCTGGAGAAAAACGACTTCGAGTGCATGGCCCTGAAGATGACGGTCCTCGAAGGCAAAGGCATATTCAACGCCAGCCGCCATCAGGAAAATTTGCACGTCATGCTGTCGCTCTGGGACGAGATATCTCAAATCGCAGATTTCAACAAAGTGAGTAGCTTTGACGCTCCGACACGATGACCGGTGACAGCTTGCACGAAGCCAAAGACGAACCTTTTGACCTTTTCAGGACGGCATGGTCACCACCGAGGAGTTCAAAGATGCCGTCAAGAAGTGCTGCGTCGGCAAGTCTTACGCCGAATTTCCCCAAGCCATGAAGATGTTTATCGACAATCACTTCAAAATCGTCGACATGAACGGTGCGTAAACGACCATCTACTTTTTCCATCTTTTGCCAATGTATAATTATATCGAGAGACGAATAAATGAGTCATAACTATAATCAACGATCGTTTCCAAACAGGAGACGGCGTTATTGGAGTCGAGGAGTACCGATACAACACCGTCACCCGAATTCCAGTACCCAAAATCGAAATCATCGACGAGGCTTACCAGAAGCTTCTCAATGTACGTGCAAAAAAGAATAAGACACAACGAGTGATCGCTTTGATATGACATTTTCTGTACAGGACGACGACAAGCGAAAAGGCGGATTGACCCTGTCCCGCTACCAGGAGCTCTACGCGGCGTATCTCGGCGACTCGGGCGACAACGTTCCAGCCGTCCATCTGTTCGGCCCACTGCCCGACAACTGCTGAACTGTGTTGTGGCTAGCTTAGCTTCAGAGAAAACCATTGCAAGGACTCATTCTGCTTGTAAAATACATGTTAAATTTTATTACCAAGGCACACGGACAAAACAACGAATGATTTATATTATGCCATTGACAAACGAAAAAAATACACGCACACACATACACACACACACTACACACGTGCACCCGTTGTTTTGACCTACAAACGATGACACGAGGTACATTATAATAATAATAATAATAATATATAGATACTATATATAAATATAAATATATATATTTAAGTATATATATTTATTAAATGAATAATTAAACATTTATTTAAGTATTCTTTTATTTATTTTAGCACATGATAACGATGATCCGAAAAATTAACTTACGACGAAATACGTTTAAAAACAATTTATCAAATGAATAGTAATGTAAAACGACCTTTGGTATGTAGCTTTTATTTCATAAAAATTATGCAATTTGTCGTGATATTTGTCATGTTGTTTTTCTTTCTCGTCGATTTGGAGATACACACCACGTAATCAATACGATCGATATTAAATAAAATAAATATCTTTAGTGTAAATATAATTTTGATCGAGGGAGACCATTGTTTTAAAAGGAATTAGTCGACTTTTTTGATTCACGTTAATACGGTTAAATCGTCAGAATAAAATTGGAAAATATTAGTACAAAATTTGGGAAAATTCTTTTATACTTTAACTATAACGCATGTGAGATTGACATACATCTTGGATGCATGTGCAATAAATTGATCGCTTACCAGATAACTTTTCAAAGCACACATTTTGGTAAGCCGTTTTTAAAAAATCGATTTTGATCTGACAAACATTTTTATTTTCTGCACTAAAAGCTGTTGAACAATTTTCTTTTTTATCCGCGAACACTTCAATATACACTCCTGTACTTTTCGTAATTAATGTATAAAATGAGGAATGGCTTGGAGGTAACTAGAATGAAATATCATAAAATATACACACACTTACACACACAACAGATATCAATTGGTTTCGATCGAATCGAAAACAAAGTATATAAAGATTTACATTTTATATAAAATGTACAGTACTTCGTGCGATAAATTACGCGACGTTTGTACCAAATTATAATCTGTAGAAAAATATATTTAATTCTGTTAAAAATAAATTCCGACTATTTTACTAATTGTGTTGATGTAATTTATCCACATACAAAATCTACTCAACAATTCTTTTATATCAAGATTTAATTTCTTTGCTTTGGTATTTGTAATTGATTAATGGAGGAAGATTTACAATTTTATGTTTATACACATTGGGCAGTAACGCATTCATTACTATATGGGTTATCACAGCTGTCAATCCCCAAATTTTGTGATTACCACCTAAATATGTTGGCAAAGTATAATTATTTCTAAACTGTGTGTATCGACATAATGCAGGATCACAGAATTTTTCCAAAGGGTGAACAAAGGCTTCTTCTACCTCTTGTTGATTAATTTTCAATGATTTTGGATCTACTTCACCTATAAAACCTACAACTGGTGTAACAATAACATGTTTTCTCTCTATTCTATTACCAGAACCCCATACTTCCACAGAGTCTTTTGGTATGTGCAGTTCTTCCCATGTTTCTCTAAGAGCGGTATCCTCTAAACATTTGTCATCCTTATCTTTCATACCACCTGGAAATGAAACTTGCCCTCTGTTTGTACTAACTTTATTGGACCGCAGGGTATATAATAATCCTAATTTTCCATTATGAATACAAAATGGTATCAAAACAGCAGCTTCGTTACAAGTATTGTGGACTTTCGTGGTCATCTTGATCAACTTCAGACGTTTTATAAATTCAGTGCGTACGTTATCATTGAGTATTGCTTCAGGCGATAGGCAGGCACTGAGTTTGTCAGTAGAAAATTTTTTATGAATTTTTTCATCCCATTTCTGTATAAAAAAAAAAATATTCGTAAGTTTTATCGACATAATGATGTAACGATTATTAGACGATAAAAATGGTAAAATATTCCTTGCGTTACGTGATCGTTATTTTGGAAATATATGTGATCGCGCACACACGTCTTTCTCGATAATTCGCAGGGCGAGTAGATTACGTATGCATAACTTACGAGTGCTAACTGCATGTCAACGAGAGAGTGTCTTCTTATCACCTTGCAGCGAATCATTTTTGTATCTCATCAAAGGTGTGTTCAATGCGTGAGTTTGATTTCCGATTGCTACAATACTGAAAATTGCACGAAAAATAACGTCAATGCGTTGACTTGAAGGAACTGCTTGGATACTCGGCAAGATTTTAATTGCAGAAACTTAATTTCACGCATCTGCATTCTGCACTCGCGCATTCACGACCAGCTGTGAGCGATTGTGTCGCCGTCTACAGCCAACGTCGCACAACACAATTATTATTGTCTTGGCTCTGCTAACTGCTTGGCTCTGACAGATCCGTGTATTCTGCATTCTGCGTGCTGTTGCTATCTGCTGTTGTTGACGTTGTTGTGTAAACGCTTTGACATTATATTTCTTTGTTGCGATTAATACACAATTTTACGCGTATTAACGATTTGCCTCGATGAGAATTAGAAACTTTAAATAAATGTAAAGAAAAAGTTGCGCGATTTAACGGGACAAATCAGTGTTGATCCTGCAGCTCTGTCAAAGAGATGTAGCTTTACGAGAAAGGGGGTCAGCCATCGAAAGAGGCGACCAAAACAAAAGGTTGGAGAGTTTAATAAACGAGGATTTTGGAACTCTCTGAATGTTTGACTCGTGCTAATCTTGATTCTTACATGTAAAACTGATCGAATGATTTTTCGGAAACTTCATTGAGAATTCACTATAATTAAACGTGTTTTTAATATACTTGATGACTCATGGCAAGGGTTAGAGTAGAAAAAACGTGGACGTGCTTGAGACTTTTCATTCTTCGAAATAGCTTTTAATTAATACATTGTTATTTTTGCAAATGATTTGGTTTTTGCATAGTGTTTACTTCAAGTGTTCTAAAGCTACAACTGCTTTTTATTCATGGTGATGATAAATTTTATAATTTTGCTTATAACTGTTTTGAAAAATTATAATTTCAATGTACAATTTTTCAGGCAATGGAAGGCACAAGTAAAAAGACTATACACAGGTGGTCAGTTATCAAAAATTTGTTTAACCAGCAGCTGGGTGTCAACATAAATAAATCATTACTTAGTTATTGTACTACTTTAAATGCATTGCAAAATTTAAGACCATCCACACCTTTAGAAAACTCTCCTACAGTTTTAAATAAGCAGATTTCTGAGATACAATTTAACCTTAAAGGTAATCTCTTGGCCAATGTTTACTGGGGTAATGATGCCGTACAGATTTGGGACTGGTCAAAGCCTAAACTCAAAGCATTTTTTAGTTCTGGACACAATTTCACTGTTAGACAGGTGAATTGGGTGCCTTCGGATACTGAAAATCTGATTGTAACTAGTGGTCAATATGGAGACATACGTCTTATGGATTTAACAGCTAACAAATCTCGTTTGTTAGAAAACTCATACTTTGAAGATGAAGAGTACTTTTGTGGAGGCTTTAAATTTTGTGTCAGTGCTAACTTACCTTACACAATATTAGCTGGTAGTCAAAAAGGTAAAATAGTTAATATTGATATAAGAGAGGAGAAACCGATGGAATTGCTAATAGCTAAACATGACAATTCAACTTATTACGAGGTGTGCAGCATCGACATTAATCCAACAAAGTGTTCAGAATTTTGTATCGGTGGTTTCAAAGACATTCGTATCTATGATTGTCGAAATCTTTCTCAGCCAGTGCAGAAACTCTTTCCGCAGATGAATCCGGACGACACTCGACGAATTCTCACAGTCAAGTACACTCACGACGGTTCGGAAATTTTAGCTGCCTACTCAGAGGATCCGATTTATTTGTTCAACACGCTGCGCTCGTATCCGATCAATACTTACATGACTTCGAGGCCCCAAAAGAGCAAGTACTCGTTCACCATTTATAACGTGCACTTCGTGGGGACTAGATGCGAATTCGTCGTGGCGAGCTCTTCGATGCACAGCACCGAGGCCGGCTGCTCGCACTCCAACAACATTTACATGTGGGACAAAGATAGCGGTGACATGGTTCATGAGATGCGCCTTGAAGAGAGGTCCTGGCGCTTCTCTGCTCATCCACACCTGCCAGTCCTGGCTATGAATATGGATCACAGCGGAATAAGACTATGGCAATAAAAATTTACTTGCTGCCTAGCTATGACTTATTTACAACACTGTTGTCGCGGCTGATAATTATTTGTGATATTAACAAGCATCTTCAACATTGGCCGAGCAATGTACTTGGGCTATGTATATTTGTATCTTTGCCCTTACTTCACATTGTCAGCCTAAAATAATTTTAACATATTAAAACCTTGGAAATTAGATAAAACTGAAATTTTTTTTCTTGTGCAATTGATTTGACTGATATTATTACATTAGGAACTTTATAGATATTATTTAACTCAATGAGGACTTTTATGAGATAATAACTACTATACATATTTTATAGTGCAAGATCAAGATTTATAAATGGAGCTAAAGATTTGTTCATAAAATGTTTGCTTTGAATCTGCTAAATTATTATATTAACATTTTTGTCCACGATATTACATATCGTTATAAAATTTTATAGAAACTAATCATTGTTACATATTACATCAAATAATTTGATCCGATAAAAATTAATACAAAACATGTAAATATGTCTATGCTTGATGTGTAAAATAGAAAACTACTTAAATTTATCGAATTTTTACTAAAAATTAATTCACCCCATATTTTACATCAACTATCATACTCGATTATATTCGTATAAACTAATAATTTCACGATGATTTTCGATTTGTATTTTCGCATATCACTAGAAGACTGTCCTAATGTTCAATGACATAATACAAATGACAAACAAAACCACATTCTAAGTTTACTTTAATTGAAATTTAATGAATAATCGAAAAGTGAACGCATCAGTATTTTGAATTAAGATAAATATGTCAAGGTGATATTGAAATTTTATCTGTTTTTCTAATTTATTTTGTGAGATTGGAATTTTACGTTCTATTTATGGATTTCATGTTATTTTTAATATTAAAAGATGGAAGCGACGAAAGTAATTATCAACTCACGTGGAAACAATTGTTTCAGAAATTAATTTTTCTGAGTGAAACTCGAAGCGATGAGTAACGATTGAAAACCCAAAGTGTAGAGCAAAGCCAACTGATATTTTTTAACAACAGACAGAAATGATAAGTCAAGAGGGATTTTTTTCAAAACATCTCTGGGTTGGGTAATTCTTGTAATATAAATTATAATATTATGGCTTTAGAATTTGTTCCTCACTTATTCGGATAGTGTAAAAATCCGGTTTTTGGCTGTTCTTAATAAATGTGTGCTTTCTGATATGAGTCATGTAAGACAATAAAAGTAAAACTACGGGAAGAATTCATTTGTGATGATTATAGCTTTATTTCATTTGAAATTGAGCAACACTCGAGTCTGATCTTCATCCTCAAAAAAATTGCTCTTTTGTAAATAATTTTGTGAATAAGTTTTGAAAAAAAAGTAAGAGGATAGATTTTCATATGTAGCGCGTCTGGCAACTGATTGGCTGTCAGAGCGAATGCGTGCGCGAATTTGCGTGAAACGCTGACATCGACTACAGCAATGGCTCTTGTTGAGTCGAAACTGCAGCAAATGCGAGCGAGCAGCTGCATAGTAGCCGCTGCCGCCCGACGGCCACCGAGCTAAGCTGCATATGCAGTAGTCGCAGAAAAGAAAAAGAACCGTCTGAAGCGAAGCGGCCTCAGCATGATTAGCAGAAAAACATATCGCGCCACATATCCGCGACTGCGCTCTCGGTCTCACGCAACACTGACTCATGTAATCTGACTGGTATCTGCCGTACACACTACACACATACACACATTCACACCGAGCAATAAGTCTGCACGAAGGCAGCAATAAGCTCGCTTACATGTGTGGCCATTATATATAGATATATACGTTCAAATAGTTGATTCGTAAGAGAGCTATAATAAGAGGTATGTGTGTGCGCGCGTGTGTGTATGCATCGACTCACCGATCGTCGACTGTCGAGCGTCGAAGAAAGGGAGTCGCGCTGCGAATTGTGGTGTAGGATTCAGTAGTGGTAGTAGGAGAGGTAGCGACTAGCGAGCGCAGCCCGAATTCCATAAATTTTCAACTGGCTGCTCAAGTGTGTAGTTTCGTGGCGTGCATCAGTGAGATTTTAACGGCCGTCTTGGATAGCGCTAAGCGCGCACCTTGTCCCGAGTCGCCAACATACTCGCACACCCGCACTGTTATATATATAGATAGATATATACACATAACGCAGGGGCTGGTGTAGTCAGTCGCGACTCGCGAGTGTAGTCGAGCTGACCGCACTACCATAGTGTCAGTTAGTATTATTTTACATAAGACAGCATGAAGCAAGATTCCTGACCAAGGCTCGATCAACGTCAACGGCGTCGTTTCGACTCCACGCAGCGATCGCGAATATTCTCCGTTGCGCCAAGTAGCAACCTGTGATCTGTATGCCTGCGAGCATAATCGACACTTATAGCAGTAGCGCTAGTGCGTGCAGTTGTCGTGATTTCGTGTGTTGTTGTTGTTATTGTTGTTGCGAGGGCAGTTCAGCTGCAGCAACGACGTCCGAGAGAGACCGATACGTTAGACAGACGAGAGGAAGGTGTCATTACACATCAACAGTATGATACTGAGGTATAGTCATCGGCCGAGTCCGATGATCGCGACGACGCTTTTGCTGCCGCTGCTCGGCTTTTTGCTCTTGGCCCAGCAAACACAGGTGAGTCGCGAATATACATTTTATATCGCCTCGTTGCTTTTTAGATATAAGAAAGATAGGTACATATTATCTTGGCTCTGTAATCTGTTCATTTGTTTCGTTTCCGCGGTGCTCGCGCGTCGTCGTTGCGTTGCTGGCATTTCGTAGGTAATAAGGTCTTACCACCTCTACCACGCCCCAGCGTGCAAACTTACGAGTTTCGCGGCCGTCAACCCGTTTACGCTGCTCTTACTCCAGCGTACGCCTTGCACAATATAATAGCAGTGTTTTTACTCGCTGCTGCTGCTGCTTCTTCCTCTTCGTAAACCCTAATTTTTGGGTCCCACCGCAGAGACTTGGCTCATTCGCAACTGCAAAATCATTATTCATATAGGCCATCTAGCACTTGGAAGGTTCATCGTGCACCTTGAGACAGTTCAATGTTTCTTATTTGCAAATATTATACAGCTACAACTGGCATTATCGATCATGAATTGTCAATGCTCGCATGTGTACTGTCACGAGGCACTTGGTTCGGAGAAATTTCATATTCTACCGATGATTTATCCAACGCACAAAGGAAAGAAAATGACCCACGTCCACAAATGGAAAAATGTTAAATTAATCGTTACTGGTCTGACGTCAATTGTTTACTTTAAACATACACACGGACACGCAGAAAGATAACTGGCGGCTCGAATTCGTCTTTTTCTCAATATCGTATTTCAGTCTCGGTCAGGAGACGGATCCATTGATTTACTCTGATGAGTAATAAGTTTTATATCCATAGGTTTTCTCGCATTCTGTCATTGGCAGATTTTTTGCAAAATAAATCATTGTTTTTGCAGATGAATATAATTTAATCTTTGAGCAATCGCTTATTTTTGCTTGATCGATTCTAAACTTTTTTCCGTACAAGTTTGAATGCTGTTTTTCGGTCAATTTCGATTACAATTTCTAATAACATGCAGCCTCGAGTTTTGTCACTTCTTGCTCCAGCTTTAAATATAAATGTGTCCTATGCGCGATATTATCTTGGCTGAATACATAATGACAAATTTGCAAGTAGAACATTGAACAACTATTTTTGTCCTATTTCAATCGTTCAGGCAAGTCAATTCGAACTTGTGCAAAAATGTTTTCATCGTGAAATTTTGGAATTTTCATCGATAGAATAGCGTCGAAAAACTGTTTCTCCACGAACGATGTTCGACAAGTCATCGTCCGAGCATGCGAGTAAGAGTTAACGTACACCAAACTTACTCACGTAAAGACAGGACGAGCATTAGGTTATCATTCTCATGATAATTGAAGATAATGCTGCAACATGCGGTTCGACGTAGCAATCAGAGGCATAAACTTTGAAAAGCGCTCGAGCATTGTTTTTAATCTACATGCAGACGTCGCACAAAACACGAATATTCGGCACTATGCTCTCCGCGAAGTGATTTTGGCCGCGAAATGAACTTCGCCGAAAAATCTTGCGCAATTAGATTTCTCAGATATTTTACCGACACGCGGCTTAGTCGAGCGTTTGCACGGAAAGAGGAATTTACACTATATAACGCAATTTACGCGTATTCGCGCGAAGCACATCGATAGATAGTAAACAGATGCGTGCAGGTGCGTGCAGCAGCGCGATGCTGCCGCCGTTCCGATGTTTTTTTACTCGCCAAAGGTGCTGAATCGAGTGGCAATATGCATACATTTTAATATAGATCGTGACGCAACGAGCACGAGCTTGTTGTCGCGCGCGCGCCTGCCTCGCACGACGTTTACCAAAGTCTTATCTCTCTCTTTTAACGCGATGGCGGCTGTTGTCTCGGGACGAGATTTCTTACGAACTCGTATTATCAATTGCACGCGCCGATCGTTCCTTCCCTATTTGTTTCTGTCAAATGAATGAACGACTTAAATACATTGTTACTTTACCAAAGTATCGATTTGTATACGATCTAAATCTCTCGGATCTCTGTACGAGAGATGTCGAGATGATAAAATAGCCGCCGAGCATGTGTACGATAATACCCGGCGAAATAAACGCTCGACAAATATCAACAATAATACATATCAACGGCTTAATCGAACAATCATTTTTCTCCGTGTTCGTGGCAGATAACGAGCGCGGCGACGAGCAGCAGCGGCGATGGCCACTGCGTCTGGTACAGCGAGTGCGCCGGACCCTCGGGCGATCCGCGCAAGAAAAACTGCCCCTACAGCGGCCCGGCCAAGGAGCTCGAGGACGAGGCGTCCCGCGCCATACTCAACAAGTACTGTCCGCATCTCGTGCCAAAGGATGGAATGCCGAGAACCTGCTGCGACAGCAAGCAGCTGACGACCCTCGACGCGCAAATCATTCAAGCGTCCAATTTGCTCCAGCGGTGTCCGAGCTGCCTATCCAACTTCCTCAAGCAGATATGCGAGTTCACCTGCAGCCCCGAGCAGTCGAAATTCGTCAACGTCACGAGCATCCAGAGCAACGATAGTGAGTTATTTCGCCACGTGCGCGATTTCTCTTTTATTACATTTACTAGTGTAGCGAGAGAACGGGAAAAAAAGCACATCTCACGCTGTGGAATTTCTATACCGATTCGTCGATGATTCAGTGAGCGGACGCGCCCGTACTAAACTCTGTTCCCGCATACTCATATAATTATACTTGTGCTTTCGTTGCCCCGTGTTTGTTTACAATTCGTGAAAGTAAAGATTGGCACTGAGTCATATCCGAGTGTGACGCGTTAAATAGACAAAATGTACATTAGATTATCGCTTCAATAAGAAAGACTTGGATCGAATATTAGTTGATAATTCAATTACAGAAGGCCTCGCGCGCGAAAGCTTGATTTAATCGTATGACCGGTCAGCGATTACGCTCGCCGACTCGTGCCGATTCTCAATATATTTGCCTCTTACAGATAACGGATCCTACATCGCTGGCATTCAAGTGTACTTCACGCCCGAATATCTCAATGGCACCTACGACTCGTGCAAACGAGTTCAGATGCCCAGCAGTGGCCAGGTGGTCATGGATCTCATGTGCGGCGAATACGGCTCGTCTCGATGCACCCCCATGAAATGGTTCGGCAGTATGGGCGACGCCAACAGTCCCTTCGTGCCGTTCCAAATCGATTATGTGGCGAGCGACCAGCCGATCGGGCCTTTCGAGCCCAGAAATCCAGTTGTGACGCCTTGCAATCAGGCTATCAACGTAAGTCTCTCTGCACGATACAGACAGAAGCGAGATTTTATTAGGCTGCGTTGGCAACTTTTTCGGGTCAAGGCACTGGATCCGTTCTTTCATAGACCCGACACTCGCCCGATAATTTCCCTTTATCGCGGCTAAATATTTTACGACTTTACGGCTATGTGCCTATTCACAACATACTAGTAGTTTTAATTAACCCATCGACGATTAACTCTCTACATCTTATTATCTTCGATCGCGTTGTATCAAACGGCTGGACGCGAAAATTTGTGTACGCACGACTACAGTCGGTTCCATCTTCTCTAAAACTATGTCACGTAGCCAATATCGATTTGCATTTAGCCTCGTTTTCGCCGTTTCTCTTTCGCGAGCCTTCCTGCGATTCGGATCACTCTGCGAACGATCGACATCCAACATTTATTTACCTACTTTCTCATTTATTTATTAATTCCATTCATTTTTATTATCGACACAATCAGGATGATTCACCGGCCTGTAGTTGCGTGGACTGTCAAGCAAGCTGTCCGGTACCACCGCCGCTGCCACCGCTACCCGAGCCTTTTAAATTGTTGGGTGGCGATGGATACGCTGTTATCATGACGGTTGTTTTCATTCTGGGCAGTGGTATTTTCATTGTGTCGCATGTCTGCTTTAACAATCGAAAGAAAATCGGAGAATCACGTAAGTATATAAATATCGGTCTTGAAGCATCGATTGATTAACGCCGTTATGCTCGCGACGAAAGACTCGTAACAAAGAGACTAAATTATGTGTAGTTACTTTCAGACCCTATCGCGATGAATTTTAATTTGAGTCTACGACAATTTTCCCCTACAAATGCAGTCCAACGTACTTTTCTCCCTTATATACTTGTATTTGACTACGTTATTCTTTACTTCGTTACTTTGGATTGGAAATTAATTTTACAAACCATTTTTTTCTCGCGCATCTTTATATTTTATTAACAACTTTTTTACATTTCTTTTATATAATTTAAAGCTATTTTTTAAACATTCTTTTTCAATTAGGTGCGTCCAATAAATTTGAGAGTAATTCAGTAACTTTCATGCGGAGGTGAAGGATTATATGCATATCTTTGTACTTTTATTTTTTACATGGTTATGGTCTAATACCAATCACGCGTATTACATACTACGAATTTTTTTTAAATATTTTATTTTGATCAAAACAAATATTTAGTGCAATTATTTCTTAAACACTGTCAGGTCTGTAAACGTTGATTTAAAACGACCTTCCCCGCGTCAATCTTCCTCCTAATCACTAAAAATAATGAATTAAAAGGCTCACGCGATCGATGCACACTTTAACATTAAATTTATATAATATAAAGGACTCGGTTAAATATTGCGTTTTTTCAAAAAGTCATTCTTACGTAATTTAACAACAACGAGTTCAAAAATATTGTTAATCCGAAGCGCATCATTTGCCCGGAAAAGAATGATTTGGAATAACACAAACGTCCGTCAATCGTGATCGGAGTAGATGATTTTTTAAAATTTTAAATAAACTCTTATCGTTCCATATGATTGTAGTCTACAATAGGACTCTAAAATCGAGAATAACATTTGGTTTTCGATTAAAAGCTAGCCGTTATTTGAAAGGAGCTCAATTAAAATACTATTTATTGCTTCACATTAAAGGATCTCATCACATAAATTTATTTTTTGGTATTCTGTCGCCAGCTTGCCACATAACATATGTTATTCCAGATGTTACCTTTTCCTTTTTAACTTTGCGTGAAAAGTATTTAACAACTACGACCAAAAAAGAAACATTCAAAAGGTTTTTTGTGTAGAGTTGATTAATATAAAACAAAAAAAAGACGAGCTCAAGTTTTTCTTAATATTTATCACTCTGTATGTACGTGTGATCAACCAAATAATGTGTGTGTATAGTTGCACGAGGTGAGGAAGTAGGACGACAGGTTGGTAGGAGACTAGCAGCTGGACTGCATCATTCAGGGGATGGTGCTCGTATAGCTCTCGCAGCCGACCAAGAAGATAGTCCACTACAATCAAAACGTTCCAGTACGTTTTTTACCATTCCAAAGTGAAAATCCAATTACGCACGTTTGGCGTTTTTAATTGTTTTTGCATTCATGTTGTTTTTTGTCCATTCGTTTGGCTATGTTTTTACTTTAATTTATCAATGTTTTTTAAACCATAATAATTATCACGCCTACTTTTTTTCATATTTTTAGAATAGAAAGTTTTATGTGCACACACAAATTCACACTGAATGTTTCATTTGACCATATGAAAACGTATACACACGTTTGTTTATACTTATAGTACGATTTTGATTAATACACATTTCTTTCATTCTCTGCTTTTTTATTAACCACTTAAGCTTTTTGTGCTTAAAAATTAACACTATTAATTGTAAAACTAACTGTTTATAATACTTACTAACCGATAAACTACCTCTGGCTTCGCTTTTTTATTATAAAACATTAATGAATTTATTCACTAGTGTATTTTTTATGCTTGACATGTAAGTAATAGTTCATAACAAATCAAGCGTAATTTGATAGAAAATAATACGAATCGTACGTTCAAAATATTATTAAAAATGCTCTTATCGTGCCGTTAATGCAATTAGTCTAAACTATTCTATAAAACAAATTTCAAGTTCAATGTCACGTTAGAATATGATTTTACCAGACTTGATATAAATCGATATAAGCGAATAAAAGTATCTTGGGTCCAATCCAGCTTCAACCTCATTCGGCATATTTTTACCTATATAAAATACATTTCTCTTTCGCACTTACTTCGTTGTACGACTCTTTCTCTTATTTCGCGATCGTCTATACGTTAAATGTGTATGGTACATATATATAGCTCAAGGTCAGCGGCTACGATTCCGTAAACAAACGCGTAGAAATATACCAGGCCAATTTTTGTCTCAATCATAACATTTTTAATATATTGATAGATATATAATATAAAAAAATTATTTTAAAGATGTACCAGTTGCATTTGGAAGTTTACACCTTCGAAGTAATCCATGCAATGGTTATATAATTGTTATAAAAACTCTCACGAACGTACGCATGTATGTTGTACGCTGAGTATAGTGCGCCTTCTGCGTTCTTGATTTATCAATACATATTTTGTTTACAACATTTAGCTTACAAAAAAATCGGGTACGGAAAGTATTTAACTATACGAACATTATCTAAGCATGTTCACACGTTGTACACATTTATTTGGAAATTGAACAATTATCAAAAAAAATCTATCAACTCCATACGATATAATAATACAAACTTTCATCTATAAAACTAAACATGTATTTATGATACTTTTGCGATTTTTCACATCAGCGAATGATAATATCATATGGTATTTTTAGGTGCATCATAAATTAATTATTCGTCGTTTATGTTTCGTTTGCGTAACTTTGTAATGAAGACATCTTTTAGTCTATTCATAAAAAACTACAAAAATGAAAGGAATTTTAATTTTTTGCGGTAGTCAAGAATAAATTTTGTACGTTATTCGGATCCAAAGTACATTATAAAAGCATGAAAAGTTGCATATCTTATCTGTAAAAATTCTAAGAAAGAAAGATATTCAATTTGTGACATTGAATATGACTTTCTCTCAGCCTGTCTAAGGGGTACGCCCTCAGCACAATACAGTATTTGAATCTCTCTCTCTCTCTCTCTTTCGATCTCTCTACCTTTTTGAATTAAGCTACCAATCTTGTCGAATTAATGACAATTTATTTCAATAAATACCTTTGAAGTACATGCTTAACTGGCAATTGGAATCGTTAATCATAGAAGAGGCATCAATTGGCTCACTCATTGCAATGGCCAAAATTAATAGAAACACGCTATTCATAATTTTTCTTTTATTATTAAGTGTCGCAAAAGTAGAATAAAGAAATGTTTTCATGTGGCGCCGTATAGAATGTCTAGTATCGATCAATTTACGCGAGCGCGTGTATCTGCGTACGTAGAGGCAGGAAAGGTCACGCGACATATTGTCGATCTCTATATTTTTTGCATATTTTAATATAGTAGTCTTTTATTGCTTTATAATGCTGTAAATATTTTATATTATTACTGTAGTTGTATTGTCTCTTAGAAATTTTTGTTTTTACATATCTGTTTCAAATAAAACACTCACAAAGTCAATTTGGCATTAGAGTGGTAAAAAAAATATTATGAGAAAGAGGTAAAAAAATTGATTAAGAATAAGACATCGCGGGGGAATTTTCTATTAAAAAAGAAGGGATTTTTCCCTCTTTCATATAAAGTCATTGAGCTTGCATAATGGTCAAATTTTTCTAAAGTTTAAGGTAATAAAGACATTTTATTTCATAAATCTCCCCTACATTGTCGAGTCTAAACGTGCGATCTACTATATCCGCTAACAGCTATATGGTAGTATTTTACCTCTTTCACATTATCTTATATTGCAAGCTCAAACAAACTGTAAATATATACATTTATATATACAATCTTTGAACATAAGTTGCTTATATTGAAAGTCAGAATAAATTAAAATTAAAGGAACATAATTTTACATGACTATTTAAAATTTCTTTTCCGATGATGTAGGCGTCATTTCAGCGGACGATTTACCTACTAATCTGCGAGAAGAAGAAAGCTCGACCTTCATCGAACGACTGGGAGCCAACACTGACAAGTACTTGCAAAAAATTTTCTGCCGCTGGGGTGTTGGTAAGTTTGCCAGAATTGAATTAGGCCGACAAATTAAATTCGCCTGTCCTCTTCTTGATTCTGACTTCTTTTATATTATCGTACGAGATTGACGACGAGCAGTTGGAACTAGCCTATCGAATTGATTTGTTTTAATCTTAATGGCACGCAGGCTGAGCAATAAGTTCAGAATGTAAGAGATTCGTTGGGACGAAAATTTCATGCATGATTCAAACGGATTCCGCTGACGAGACGGACGTCGCTCAAATTACACTTTATTAGTTCATTGTAAGCAAAGCGTGGTTATTATGTTTTCTTCTTGAAAATTTGCTTGGCTAATATTCCAGCGCATCGTTGTCAATCGCACGGTTGTATCTACTCGAGTGTCGCGTGCTGCCTCTGTTACATTATCGTGAAAAATAATGCACGCGAGCTCTGCAACAATTATCGCAGGAATTAACGATCATTATGATTACAGTATGCGCGAGCAATCCATGGATGGTACTGCTGTGTGGTTTTGCCGTCGTTGTCTGCCTCGGAATGGGCATCAAATTTCTTCACGTTACCACTGATCCAGTGGAACTATGGGCATCTCCTTTATCGAGATCGCGCGTTGAGCGCTCGTACTTCGACTCCCACTTCGAACCTTTCTATAGGACCGAGCAGATCATCATCACGTCCGTTAACCTGCCACCGGTAAGTTGAAAGAGCCCGGAACATTTTTCTCAACTCGAAGCAACAAGTCGCGGTAACATTGTAACTCGTACACGTTCGAGGAAATAAATATTGAGAACTGCGCTAGGCATTGATGTCAAGTCGACCACAGCTGAGCGCTCTATCAACGTTCGTTTCGAATATTTGTTGATTCATTAAGTAATTTTTAATGGCTTGTTTATTTGAATGGATTTAGTCAGCTTCGAATAAACTATCTGATTCAAGTGATGAAATTTATGATTCCAAAACACTTCGCCTTATTCGAGACAGGTCAATGTTTCCGAAATGTAATTATAAAGCTCGCCTGTGACAAAGATAAGGTCGCGGAAATCCGAAAGAAGAACGGCATTCGAGTCGCGTTATTGGCTTCAACAATAAAAATGCACGAGAGTTTATCGTACTTGGAAGCAGCTACTCATTGGATGAGTCATTTCAAGAGACAGTAATATTTATTGCGCAGTACTTACATACATCTGACTTTGATATGGCTTTCCTGATATGTCGTTGTTTTTTTAATGAATCATATAATAAATGATTTGCCTACTTCGGCTCTGTTGAATTTTTACGATCGGCAACATTTTTGGATTTTTAATTTTTTGCGTTTCGTCATAGATCAAACACGTGACTTCGAATGGCAACGTGACCTTCGGCCCTGTGTTCAATGCTACTTTTCTCAAGACAGTATTGGAGCTTCAAGAAAGTATAAAAGCTATCAAAACACCTAACAATTATACGTTGGCTGACGTTTGTTTTGCGCCACTTCATGCATCTTATACCGGACCACCGACCACTTCTCAGTGTGTCGTACAAAGCATCTGGGGTTACTGGCAGGACGACGTTGACAACTTTGATGCGGCAACCCTCGATGAAAATAATAACACTCTTAACTACTTGGACTTTTTCAAAGATTGTACTCAGTAAGTAGGGATATTAATTACAACTTTTAATAACATTTCAATACAGATGTAGGTGCAAGTATTTGACTGACTCGAAATTGCTTGGTCCTATATGATCATTACAATATTTCTGTCTTTGTAATTACAATTTCTTATGTGATAAGAAAAATAGAATTTTCTGCGTTTTTAATTCATATATTTTCAGAATTTTTTTCGAAACACACTTTAATATATTTAAATGAATGAATTATTCTGCGCATGCAATCATACTTAAACATGCGACCTTCATTAAGATAATTGAATTTGAAATACTTCTTCTAAATTTCGATCCGCATTCTGGACACAATTTTAGAAACAGGAAATCTTATTTAAAAGATCATTTGTAATGAGTATTTTTTTTTTCACAGAAACCCTTACAGCGTTTCATGTCTTGCTCAATACGGTGGACCAATTGAACCAGCTATTGCCGTTGGTGGCTTTACTAAACCCGGCGAAAATTTACGCAACCCACCTTATGAAAAAGCCACGGCCATCATACTGACGTTCCTGGTCAACAATCATCACGACAAGGCAAAATTAGTACCGGCTATGGAATGGGAAGAAAACTACGTTTCATTCATGAAGAACTGGGTAGAAAAGAAAAAACCTGAATATATGGATTTGGCCTTCACGTCCGAACGTTCGATAGAAGATGAACTTGACCGGGAATCTTCATCGGACGTCGTCACCATCCTGATATCCTACCTCATCATGTTTGTCTACATCGCCGTCTCACTTGGACAATGGAAATCCTTCAAAACATTTATGGTTAGTAAATGATTTGCTATACATACGCTTTGATTTCGGTGATAACCGACTCAATCATACGTTCTATGAGTGCATAAGACTAAAGTGGCATTGTTAAATTTTTGACAGGTTGACTCGAAAATAACCCTAGGACTGGGTGGTGTACTGATTGTGCTAGCATCGGTCATCTGCTCGGTCGGTATTTTTGGTTACATCGGACTACCAGCAACTCTCATTATCATTGAGGTCATTCCTTTCCTCGTCCTCGCTGTCGGTGTTGACAATATCTTCATTCTCGTGCAAACTCATCAACGTGAAGGTCGCCGTCCCGATGAATCCATTGCCGAGCATATTGGACGTACATTAGGTCAAGTGGGTCCAAGTATGTTGCTAACAAGTGTCTCTGAAAGCTGTTGCTTTTTCCTTGGTGGTTTATCTGACATGCCTGCTGTAAAAGCTTTTGCTCTTTACGCTGGAATGGCATTGCTCATTGATTTCATCCTTCAAATTACGTGCTTCGTTAGTCTGCTCGCATTGGATACTCTCAGGCATTCGGTAAGGATATAACTGGCTAAATAATGTATTAAATTCATAGAATAATTAATCATTTAAAATATTTTTGTTTAACAGCAAACTAGAATGGATATTTTGTGCTGTATACGAGGTTTGAAGAAGGACAATGGTGAAGAAATGATTGATGGTGTTTTGTATAAAATTTTCAAATTTGCTTATGTACCGATGCTCATGAAAAAGTGGGTACGTGCTGCTGTAATGGTGATATTCTTTGGTTGGCTATGCTCGAGCATAGCTGTTGTACCGCACATTGAAATTGGTTTGGATCAAGAACTGTCTATGCCTGAGGATAGTTTTGTACTAAAATATTTCAAATACTTGAACAGTTATTTATCCATCGGGCCACCAGTATACTTCGTTGTGAAAAACGGTCTGAATTACTCTGACCCATCAGTGCAGAATTTGATTTGTAGTGGACAGTACTGCAATTCAGATTCTTTGACAACACAAATTTTCGCTGCGTCAGAATTATCCAATAGAACTTTTATAGCTAAACCAGCATCATCTTGGATAGACGATTATTTTGATTGGGCGAGTTTAGCTCCTGCGTGTTGTAGATATAACGCAGATAATGGATCATTTTGTCCTCATGAAGATACTTCGTGTCCAACATGCCAAATCACCACAAATAAATATCACCGTCCTAATGAAACAGATTTTGGAAAATATGTATCATTTTTCTTGCAAGATAATCCTGATCCATCTTGCGTCAAAGGAGGACATGCAGCTTACGGTCAAGGTGTAAATTATCACTTAAACCCACGGAACCATTTATCAGAAGTTGATGCATCCTATTTCATGGCATATCATACTATTCTTAAATCGTCGTATGACTACTACGAGTCCATGAGACAAGCGCGTGCTATCTCAGCCAATATCACGCAGATGATCAACGCAAATCTTAAAAAACTAAAATACGAACAAGAGGTTGAGGTATTTCCATACAGCGTTTTTTACGTGTTTTACGAGCAGTACTTAACTATGTGGCCCGACACACTACAAAGCATTGGTATTTCTTTACTTGCTATTTTCCTTGTTACATTCTTTCTCATGGGTCTGGATATATTTTCGTCAATTGTCGTGATCATCACCATCACAATGATTGTTGTTAATATCGGTGGCTTAATGTACTGGTGGCACATAACTCTTAATGCTGTGTCACTCGTAAACCTTGTTATGGTGAGTTCAATAATTAGAATTCATTTTTAAAATATATAGACTAAACAAATGTAAAACAATATGATGAGTGCAATTTTTGTTTTAGGCTGTTGGTATAGCAGTTGAGTTCTGCAGTCATTTGGTACATTCTTTCTCCGTCTCTGTTCAGCCAACTAGAGTAGAAAGAGTATCTGATGCTTTAACAAACATGGGCAGTTCAGTTTTTAGTGGTATTACTTTAACCAAATTTGGAGGAATCATAGTCCTTGGCTTTGCTAAAAGTCAAATTTTCCAAGTATGCTGATATATTATATGAATCAATTCGTTTTTAATCTATAGAGTAAAAAACAATGCTGAAAAATTCTTTACTTTTCAGGTATTTTACTTTAGGATGTATCTAGGCATTGTGCTTTTTGGTGCAGCTCATGGTCTCATATTTTTACCCGTCCTTTTGAGCTACATAGGTAAGTTTTGTATCAATCAATTGATGATTATAAGTTTCCATTTTATCATAATTTTATGCGTCTAATTTACTATGCTCGTTTTCCTAAATTTTATCCCCCCTTTGTCCCAAATTTTACATCGAGGTTAATTTTGAGCATAAAATTTTAAAATCTGTATTCATAATTTTTTATCTTTAACGATTTTACGAATTAACTTCATTGATCGAATCACGATATATCTTCGTGATTCTAGGCTCGCCCATGAACCGAGAGAAGCTGGCCAATCACAAGAGAGCAGAACAGGGAAATCTGGAGGACGTGCAAGAAACTTCCTTGAATCATCGTGTAAGCAACCCCATATATCCCTCACCTATGACTACTACACCTTCCTTCCGAGAAGTCTATTATGATCGATAAATATAGTTTTAAGTGCGCCATCTGACTAGAAATGTAAAAATAGTTCGGTTAATAGTTCATCTCGAAATAAGTATGATCTTTGATAAATTCGTTAAAATTCTTCAATTTTCTAAAATAACGTTGAACATATTAAATTTCATTTTTATTTTATGAATGAGATTCTATTTATGGTCATGAAATTTTTAGTAATTGATGTTTTACGAAATTTTTGGGAATGGTCACGGTTTTATTTGATTATTTTTGTAAAATTTCAGTTACCCCTATAGTTGTAGTGGTTATGGATCTCACATTTAATTCATGCACATTAATGGTATATTTTCGTTCATTGTTTGTGTGCAGACATAATTTGGGTCTTCAGTTTAACATCTACTTTTTTTTTACTAATCAATGAATGATTACATAATCCTAGGTGTCTATTTTATATTTAAAAGATGAAATTTTACGAAATCAATTTTATTAATCTATGATATTTGATTTTGCGTTCATTAAATTAAAAATATGAAGTTACATTTTTATCAAACCATCAGAATTTTTGTCATATTATTTATATTTTTGCATAATTTGTATGGAATTTGAATTACTAAACTCATTTGGCAACTTGATAAATCATTTACTAAAAATTGGTGAACTTGTTGATTAAAAATGACAATTTTGCAAGTTACTCATTATTTTCATTGTTATGTAGTTAGTGTTGCTTACATATTTAAGCACTTGTTAAAAAGTTTACATTAGTAATTATTTGACTGTTCGTAGTGTAGTTTTCGTGTGAAATAATGACTTATCAATATCATTATAAATAAAGCGCGTTTAAATTTTTTCTTTTCGGAAATTTTTCGGTGCACTTTATTCTATATGAATAATAACACATTGGTCTCTTGTGGTTTGTTGGCTTATTTTTTAGGAATGTTGGTGCGTGGATAAAAATTAATGCGCACCCTTAAGTGAAAAATTACCAGCCTACATAGTTCATTAATTATTTGAAATCTAACAAAATTCTGAACTTTCATTACGAAAAAAATTGTAATTATTATCTTTATTTATTCATTGCTGCCCTTCGTGACCTTGAACCTCGTATGTAATTAATTTAATCACCAGCAGTATAACAAACTTTTTCACGTCTTTTACAGACGTGATGTCGCATGGTCGAAAAATCCGAATCGAAGAACAAGCAAGAAAAAATCGACAACAATATGAGGATCAGAATCAACCAGCAGCAATGCCTCGTGACGAATATACCAACAACGACAACGATGACATCGATGACAACTACTCATCACCCTTGCTACACACCGATCCTGGCCAACACTCACGGCCATCCACTTCCTACGCAAGTATAAACCAAACTGATGTCATATTCCATGACACAACTTGAAATTTATCCCAGTTATTTAAAGTTCAAGAAGGTTTTTACTGATGTGAAAAAATATTTTTTGCTATATTGTATTAATGGTATGTCATGTAAAACCATGTTATCAGAAAGATTATGAAAAGGATAATTTGATATATTAATTGACATTTAAAAAAAAAAACGAAAAATTTCATGTTATTTCTTATCAAACTAAAAGAGTATTAGTAAAAAAAATAACACTAACGTTTGCATAGATTGACAAACAATCTTATATGTACAAAAATAAAAATATTTCAACGACAAAGAGTTGATGCCTGTGTCGTTGATAGCTTATGCATTTTACTCTTAGGAAGTTTTGTCAGAAAAATATTTTGTAAACAAAGTATCGTATAATGGGAAAAGAGTCTAAATAAAAAAATATATTTTCAATTAACTTGGCAAATAGCTTTAGCAAATAGCTTAGTACTATAAGTAATAAACGTGTTTTGTTAATTTTTTATTCTATTATAATTTTCGTAACTATGCATTTTTTGCTCGAAATATAAAAAAAGTAGTTCCAAATATTGTGTATACAAAGCCATTTGTGCGAACTAAAGTATGTATATGCGTGTATATATATATATTAATATATAATTTAAGTCATTAGTGTATAAATAATAAAGAAAGGCTGGATCCCTGCGTTGTTAGAGCGCGTTCTAAACAAATTCATATTTTGCATATTGAAATACAAAATAAGATGCGTTAGATTTCATAAGTACATCTGTATTTAAAGGTATCTAAGCTAGTGTAAAAATAAAACTTTCAAATCCAGTTTTTAAGATCACTATAAAATATTTTTTCTAAAATCTCTTTGACTACCTAACAAATTACTAAATAAAGGGTACCATAAAGTCTTAAAAAAATTATACGCAGTAACTTAAAAAAACTCTGATTAATTTTAGAAAACAGGTTTAATCATTCTAATTTTTACCCAGACTTTCAAAAACATTTGGAAATAATTTTTGTCCAAAAAATCATCAAAATTTATGTTAATTCATAAGTGTATAAATAAAAAAAATTTTGTGGTACATATGGAATAACCTTAATCTTACTTCAAGAATAATTTTATAAAGACAATATTGAAGAATGTATTAATACATGAAAAATTCAGGATTTATTGGGTAGTCGATTAGAACTTGATTTCTTTCAAATTGTGAATGGGTTCTTAATTTAGATGATAATAAAAGTACATTTGAAGATACAATTGAAAATTTTAAATAAATGTATTATTTCTGATCAATTTGCCTACCAATCTCTTATAAATTGTAATAATACTGACAAATTCACTCACCACCCCAGGTCAAAGAGAACTATCTTAAATTGAATTATTTTCTACTAGTAATATTTTGTAACATGTTTTTATGGTTCAATAATAGCCTCAAGAACACTTTAATTTTGTGGCTTGTCTTTATAATTACATAAAAACATGTTTTAATAAACTCCAATTATGAAATGCCCGTTTTCTTATTTTGTAATTATAGTAATTATGATTGAGTGCTACAGCTCTCATAGATTTTATAATGCGCTTATCATCAAAGTTGTGTTGTAAAACATAACTATAAGTGCTAATTTGATTCTATTTCTGCACCTTCAGGTTAACTGTGAAGCATTGTTATAAATTTAATTTTGATGGCATATATTCAAATTTTTTCTTCTATATAAATCATTACTCAAATATGAGTACTTAATAGAAAGCTATAATTTAATTGCATAGCCTAAAAATATGAATTATTTGATTTCATGAATCTATCAGAAGAAGATAATATTTTAAAGAAATGATCAAATAATAATAATAAAAAAGCATCTTTTTGTAAGATTACATTGTACATACATGATTATCACAAAAATACGCCCTAATTAGAGATATTTGCTAGAAATGCAGTGATTATATATTTGAACTTTTCGATACTGAGAATAAGTAGTTTTTGGGACTAAATAAATATATCTGATGTAATACGTAAAATAATAACATGGAAAATAATTTTATTATTTATACCGACCTATTATATTGAAAGAAAAACAAAATTAATGAACCATTAGTTTCAAGGTAATTCCAAAATTAAGCGGAATAAATTATCTGTGTGAACTATTCCAAAAGTCGCCACACTAAAGCAGTGATTGTGGAAAAATTTTCTGAATTTGTTGCAACGAGAAGTCGGGTATGACTCAGCATCAGCTTGATAACGTTTGTTCTCGAACAGTATCGTTCACGTCCACGGTTTTTCAGTAAGGGTTTCATAAAGGAGCATTAATCTTTTTTTCAAATAGTAAATACGTTAAATAATTGATAATGATTTGGACGGCTGTATTTTCAATGCAGGTATAACTGCGAAATTGTTAGCTTGCCACGAACACGTAAGTCCTACGTGTTTACCAATTGCATGCGTATATCAAATTTGTACACGTATATAAGGCGTGTGTATGGAGATAGCCATGCGTGTGTGCGCGTTATACATATATGTGAGTTGAGTTGTATAAAGCAATAAAGCTCGCGGTAGGTATTTACGAAAGGGGCGTACTCGCACAGCTGAAGAGGGCGGCTGACAGACACTTTGACAGCAGCAGCCGCTACTCTCTGCAGAATCGAGCTTTTTCTGCTGTTCACCGCGTTTCAGTCGCGCATGTGTATGTTTACGATCACAAGCGAAGCAGACTCGCGACTGCAGCGGCTAGTCGAACAGATGAAGATATACCTATAGCTGGCTATTGTCGAAATTGCATGGTATCCACGTCCCAAAACATTAATCTCAAGGATTCAAAAATTGATTAATAGTTGCACGAAACAAATTCAACAATATCATTTTAAAGAAAATTTGGTCAAGCCAAAATTTCGCAGCTGCCTCTGGGCTTAGAGCTTTACGATTTCTCTATATGGGCTCTCAAACATGATGATAATACATATATTATGATCTTTATAGGGGTACAGTTTGTATTAATGCAGTGCATCAACTCATTCTATTCCACTGGAGGGAAGGGTGGAGGGGTGAACATAATTTCTGCATATTTGTTGGCTGTAGTAATGTCTTATTATTAATTGATGTCTCGTCAGTCGTCACGGCTGTGTGTGACACAAGCTCTGCTCTACCCACCGAGTAGCAGCTATATAGGCGCGGGCAGAGATGCTGACTCCAACCGCGAGCGCCGAGCCAAGCGACTGGCGGCTCTCGCTACTGCTCGCTACACCAGCCTGCCATAGAGGCTCAGTTGCGGTTATAGTATATTGTTAGCCTCCATCGCTATACGTACACTCGCGTACGGACTAGCGGATACACAAGTTTCTCTCTCTCTCTCTCTCTCTCACACACCGATATTGGAGAATTCGAGTATAACAGTCATACAATACTGTCTGTGCTGGCGAGTGGCAAGAGGGAGAGACATATATAAGAGAGATAAAGAGCTTCGTAGCAAGTTTTTCTATATACGTGATCGCAGTACACACTTATATATTTACGTTTTTCCTCTTTCCTTCTCTCTCTCTCTTTCTCTCTTTCTCTCTCTTTCTCTCTCGCAATATCTGCCGTAAAACGTCTGGCTGAGAAATCAAGTGGAGAGTCATCCTTCGAGACGTAGTGTGTAAGAAGCAACAACGAATCAAAGAAAATGGGAACCCGCGACGACGAGTACGATTATCTCTTCAAAGGTGAGTCTCGCAGCCTTCGCGCATGCATATGTATAATTGGCAACTAAGATGTACTCCTAAATGCACTTTCCCATACCACACATTTCCATCGTATTAACGTACAATTTGTACTTTTTGCTACATTGACACTGAACGTCATCGGGCCATAGTTGCGCTGCTCTCTATATTTTTCTCTATTTCGAGCATTATCACCACGGATATGCCCAAAGTCGTCATCGTCAAATAGTCATCTCTGCGACGTACTATTTATCCTTCAACGACGATTATTGAAATCGTACCGTCCAATTTTACGTTGGCCTACCTATGACATGTTGATGCTATGTGCGACTCCAAGATTTCATCAACGTCTCATTATCAATCGCGCAAATTTTTTTCTGTTCCTAGAATAATGGCAAACGACAAATTATCATTTCTTTAGAGGTTCGGTCGATGTGGCTCACGATTCTCTCTCTCTCTCTCTCTCTTTCTCTCTCTTTTGCGACTATACATACGTAAGTACGTGTATGTGAGTGTATGTATGTATGTACATATGTGCATCTATATTATAGACTGTACATATAGCATGCATTATATGGCCCCAATTGAACCGCGATGATGAGCGAGAGAAAGAGACGTTGATCACATTCATAAAGTTCACTCCCATTTTTTACAGCAGCAAAAACAAAATTGACATGAGAATTTATGCTACTTAATCGCTTATTTTCCCCAAACTTTTTTTGACGTCCTTGGATTTGAATAATTTTTGAGATGTATGTTGCGAATGGCTATATCAAATCAAATGATTAACTCGTTCTAATGAAATAATACAACTTGGTACTCTTATAGATAAAAATACTTGCAAAAAGTAATATGCAAGTTCTTTCTCATGACATTCTGAATATTGTTTTTTACATTCAAACTGTATGCACAGAAGTGAATCGCTCCTCGATGCCATTTCTCTGCTATTGATTGATTCATATAATTGTCATTGATTAAGATTGATGTCATTGGATTAGTCATTACTTGACTGCTTAGAATGATGATGTTTTGCTTCTTGTCACAGTTGTATTGATTGGAGACTCCGGTGTTGGTAAGAGTAACCTACTGTCACGCTTCACAAGAAATGAATTCAATTTGGAATCCAAGTCCACTATTGGGGTTGAATTTGCAACAAGAAGTATACAAGTTGATAGTAAAACCATTAAGGCCCAAATTTGGGATACAGCAGGTCAAGAACGTTACAGGGCTATCACATCTGCGTAAGATATTTTCATACTGAACAATTTTTTTTTTTTTTAATTATCAAACTCGGTTGTAAAGACTAATTAAATTTGTAGGTATTATCGTGGAGCAGTAGGAGCTTTATTGGTTTATGATATTGCAAAACATTTAACTTATGAAAATGTGGAAAGATGGTTGAGAGAATTACGTGATCATGCAGATCAAAATATTGTCATTATGTTAGTTGGCAACAAATCAGATTTGAGGCATTTGAGAGCAGTACCTACAGATGAAGCTAAAACATTTGCTGAAAAAAATGGTCTTTCATTTATTGAGACTTCGGCCTTAGATTCCACCAATGTTGAAACTGCATTTCAAAATATTTTAACAGGTAAATTATAAAATAATACAATTGTTAATAAAATAACGATTTTATTAATAATTTCAACATTTCACAGAAATATACAGAATTGTATCCCAAAAACAAATAAGAGATCCACCTGAAGGTGATACAATTCGACCACAAAATGTAGAGCCAATTGATGTTAAACCAACAATGAGTTCTGAAGGAGTGCGTAAACAATGCTGCCAGTGACGTGGTGTTTGTTCATTAAATGATTTGCTTTATAAGTAAGTAATTGTCAAAATCTATTTTATTATTTTAAATTGATTCATTCATTCAAGTTTTGAGTTCAATTTATATTTTCATCAAAAAAGTTTAATTCTCTCTAAATTCATAATTTATCTTAAATTATTCATGAAATTTTAAAACATCAGTCTTTATGCAATTTTTACATACTAAGATTTTATGATATCAAATTTATGATAGTGCAATCAAAGGCAAGGTATCATTCGTACACATGATACCTTGCCCAATCAAACATTTGCTAAATTTACTTGGTCCTTTCTAGAAAATTAAAGTTATGTAACTAAAGGAATAATTTTTTTAAAGTTTTTTACCAAGAAATTGTTTTTTCAGATCCAGCAAGAAAGGCAGAGAGCAAGAAACAAGAGAAATGATGATTGTTGGTAGATGAATCAGGTACATATTAGTACCTGAGAACCAAGACTATGTATACGGGCCTATGATCTCGTATGCTGAACTAAATTTGTCAAAACTTTTTGAGCAAAATGCTTAATGCTATTGAACATAATATAAAAGCAGATAAAATTACACAGTTTAGAAATAATTTCAATTAATTCTTTGGCAAAAATTTTTTATCTTTGTGCATGATGTAATGCAACGATCAAGTGATCCTCGGAGTGTTCCATGTGATGTTTCCATTCACTTGAATATCTTCAGAAAATTTTATCTTGTCAAATCTGTATTTTTTTAACGTGCAACATTTTCAATTATTTCTACCATTCTCTTAAACTCTATCTCTGATCTATTTATGCTATGTTTATTGTACCTTTGCTCATGTGCGCTTACATACCATGATACACATTCAATTGGGAATGCATTTTAAAATTTCAATGCGCTAATATAGCAAAACTCAGATACACAAATGCAAATCATACTCAAAAACAAATACACACTATATCACACAAATGAGTAATGAAAGGGTAGAATAGGACTAAAAAGTTAAAATTCTTAAGAATGCAAAGGTAAACAGATACATATATTATGTTATCAATGATAAAATATTGTATTACCACTTTTTTCATAGTACATGATGATAAGATTTTTTTTATTTTTGAAATGCGTAATTTTGATGCATTGATAATGAATATATAATTTAAAAAAAACACAATTTACTATTTGTGATGTATATTATTGGTGACTCTAAGCATGGCAACAAATCGCAATTCTCTCTGCTGTTGAACGTCATATGTTATTTATATGGGAAAAAACTTTTGATGATCCAATAAGTTGATGATTTTAATAATAGTGTATAAATTTGTATGTACTTTGTTGCGGATGAAAAGAAAGTAGAAACAAACTGTGTTCAAAGGCAGTCATTTTTATTCTTATGCACAGCATCATCCTCACCATATAATTAGTCAAAGTAATGTTTTATTTATAGACTTGCTCTCTTTTTTATTTGAAAAAATTGTAATGTAAAATTCCTCTTGGTATTCAACTTGACTATGATTTCATGATAAAGTACAATTAAAATATTTCGTTCCTTTTCATACGCATAAACATCGTGGTTAAAAGTTTATATTATGTTTTACAATTTCTTATTAAACTTAAAAGAATAATAATAATAATCGTGTAAGTTTCTAAAGAGCTTTCACTTGATTTTTCATTGAAAGGGCTTAATATAAGAAAGTTCATTATAGATGTTTGAAACAATGACTTCTTATCTAAATACTTTTTAATTGTTGGAAATCGAAAATACTTGAAATTTTTGTATAGAAGAAAAATCATCGATTATTATTAAAATCTCAGGTTCCCCAAAAAAAGAAAGATATCAAAGGATTATTCTAAAGATTTGAAAGAAACAGAAAAAAGATTTTAAGTAGTTCTTTTGAATGATCTTAAATGCATTTGACTAATAAATAATTTTATGATAAAGGTAGAAGAAACGAGATTTAATAACGTTTTTTGCGTCGATCATAATTTTACTTTTAAATAAATATGGATCATTTTCCTTGAACTATGTGTATATTATACCTACCTCCTGATTTAAATGATATGTTTTCAATTTTAATTGCATGTGACAAGAATCAAGATGAAATATACATTTTGAGTATTAGTTCATATTCAAAGGCTGATGCTTATAAAATTTTATTATAAAAATTGAATATAAAAAAAAATTTCTGACTGAGATGATGGTACATAAGCATGGGTGCATAAGTATGCACTTGATCATTCCTAATAAAGTTAACCTCCTTTAGTCCTTTAACTTAACTAAATTCTATTATTGACAATTATATTACAATGATAATATTAGTTTCTAACAGTTAATGAGCCATTCCAGAAGAAAGCGAAGAAGCTGATGCTGGTTCTAGCCGCACAGTATTTCTTAGAGTATTACTTTGATATTTATGTCTATACTCAATCCATTGAGCAAGTTCTGGATTTGATTCCAAGTCAATGCTATTTGCCTTAGCTTCAAGTCGCTGATAATACGCATCTCTCAAAAGGCGAAAAGTTTGTATATTTCTGTAAGGTAAATTTGTGACTGGATCTTTGTATTTTGCTGGATACCTGTTGAAGATAAGTATAAGTTTTTTATATGCATCGCTAACTGAAATAAGCGAAATATAGTATATATACTGCAAAAAAAATAAAGCTATTGGTCGTGTCTGTCAGCTTAAAAATAAAATTTTATCCGCTATGCGAAGCGGTAAGGACGTTGATATGAACAAATTAAATTTGATTTACCTTGTTATGGCACATAAGGATTTTAAGGTTCTTCTCGGTGGAATTTTTTTCTTAAAAATTTCTTCAAATTGCTGAACACTTTCAAAAGTAACAAAAGTTCTTTCATAGAATCCATTAGTTTCTATGCAATCAAAGTTCTGTTCTTTGTTGTCATCCATATTATCATTATCAATTTCATTACTCTCTTTTTCTTTGTTACTGCTAAAAATAAATAATGTTTTTTTAATTCTACAATGAGACATTTTTTAAATAAATTTTCAAAATCAAAATTTACCTCTTGTTATCAGTTTTATTTGAAGATTCTTCCACGTCTAAGTCTACAAGCGTATCTTTTTCTTTTATCATACTTGAGGACAATACCATAACTGGCATAGAAAATGATTGATATCTAATCATTGGTCCAACATTTGGTTTACGAATGGCTCTTGCATTTTTTTTTTCATTTTCCAATCTCTGATACTTTTCTATAATTGAGAAAGATAAAATTATATATGAATAATCAAATTTTTATAGAATTATTTGAAATAGTTACCTACCTAAAGATTTTAAGTTAATTTCTTCAGTTAAAAGTGCTTCTTCTAATAATTCTTCTTGTGAAGGCTTATAATCATCTTGTTTGGCAATTTTAACTTTCTTTTTTTGATCTTCCGTTCGCTCTTTTAATCTTTTTAAAGTTTCTGCAGATTTTGCTGCAGTTGATCTGCGTATGGATTTTCTTTCTAAAATAAAAATGTATGTGCTATTGAATAAGATGAGTTTATGTAAAATATTGCAAAAGATAAACTAAATAGTACCAATATTTTCTATTAGTATCCGAGGAACTTTTTCTTTTGTTACTTTTTCTTTAAATTTTTTTTTCTTTGGCACTTCTTTACTTTTGGATGAAGAAGGTTTAGCAGGTTCTTTGTAAGCTTTAGTAAAAACACCTTTTTGTCTTTTTTTTTCTTCAACTTCATGATCTGATACAGGCTCATCATTTTCATCTATACTGAAATCTGAGTCAACTTCATCTTCTACTTCTACTTCTTGTCTAGAAAAAGATATAAAGAGTAATGTATGTTTCAATCTATATTATATAAAAAAACTTACTTGTAATCATTGTCTTGTTCTGTTTCTTCAAAGCCACCATAAGTGGTTTTGTAGAAGTCATCTTCTTCCTCCTCATTGAGAAGTTTGGCCATTTTATTACCAGCATTGGAACGTCTAGGTCTTGAACTTGCCATTTTTGTTCTTTATTTATTCAAGTGACACAGTATAACAAAAAATTGCTTTATACTTTTGCAAGAAGTATCAAATTTAAAACATTTCAATCACGGTACAAACTCAGCGTCTGGGTCTCATAACCTGAAAGTTAAATAGTTCCAAGTATGAACACCATAACTAATGTTATGCAGTGTGCTGTATTGTATTGTATAAACATCGGTCCGGTTGTCGCAGCCAAACTTTGTGCAGAAGTCAAAACTGTGGACGAAAGCTAATATACAAAAATGTAAATATTTACTATTGATTGTCATGCAGGATTCAAGATTAAAATTATGGATTGGATAAAAATACTTGAAATAAATGCACGAGTTTCGAGCTCATTAGGTAATCATTGTTTCAAGATTATTTGGAGTTAATCGATTGTAAATACAATAACTTGTTAGATTCTGTCCTTAAATTATCTCTATTTCTGTCCCTCAATGAGGTTATGAAATAATCGGTTTGAAAATAAATACATTATTACATTAAAGAAACAAACGATAGCAATGATTTGACAAACTAACTCAACATTACCATCAATAAGAGTTGTAACATTTGTGAAAATATTAGATTGCAAGTTTGCAAAATGTGTAGGTTAATAATTTATAATCCTAGCCGCGGAAATAAAGCTATTTTACAGCTGCATTTGCCGATTAGATACGGATTCAAGAGCAGGAAAAAAAGTTCATATGCAACGAGGCGGAAAAGCATTCATTTAAAAAATCCACCCCCTAAAAATGCGTTGACTATCTATTTTACCATCGCTAGAGAATTCCCGAAGATCTTTTTAAATGTCAATTACAATTTTAACTCCCCTACATTCACACACAGACAAAGACTCGTAAAAAGAGATAGAATTGAGGCCCCCCTCGCCTTTCTTGCCTCCCCCGTCGAAGAGGGGAGTGCGTGCGTTGTGTGTATGTGTATACCATGCGTTTATGTTTGGGATAAGTGTCATATGTCTCCCCTCCACAGAGAAGAAGCTTCATACGAGACTCTTGCAAAACCCTTACTCAGCGGCTAGTCGTCAGCGTGTGTGCACTTGTGCTATGTAAGTGTGTGTGTGTGTGTGTGTGTGTGTGCGCGCTTGTGCTGCTCGCCAAATCGAAGTTGCGAGTGGGGATGCTTCAAGTCGCTCGCGGCTCCTGCAGTTCTATGTGAATTCGTACTTTCAGTCGTCGTCGGGCAGCGGACGTAGATCATTGTGCGTCGCGTGTTTCGCTTTTCATTTTTAGTCTATATATAATAATATATAATATATAATAATATATACATATATATAACTTAGGGATACACGTAAACGTATCTACGTTATACACACTACAACTCTATATATGTAATAGTCATTTTCTTATTTACTTCTCTTTTTTGTCGCACCTAACTAAGCACGGTTAGATATTTGAATGCGTTTAAGATATCGATGCATATTGACGTAAAAAAAAAAATTATAAATCGCACAAGGCATACGGTTTTGCGATACTCGTATTCTCCGTTTCATTGACGTCGTAATCTTATGTCTTTATACTTGCGCTACCCACGTATTTCAAGTATAATAATATATAGTACTCAACGTGAGATTGCAGCGAAATCGTGAGTGGTGTGATTTCGAACGAAATTTACGTGTGCAAACATCAACTACGTCGAACGTTGACAAATCTTGCTCGCTCGGCCGCTTGGCAGCTGACGTTCGAATCGAATTCGATAAGGAACGGTTAACGAACTAAATACGTAAATTTCATCATCTTCTGCGTACATCGAATCATGAATGTTAATGCACGTATTTACACATACGCATAAGAATATCCAGCTTAACTAGAGGAGAAAAATAAGGAGTGTGCGTGCCAGTGCAAGTACACAGTAGTACATTACACACACCCATTCACACAGACAGGCGTGCGCTTGCTCGCTCGCTCGCATTATAAGAAAATATACTTGGGCTTCTCGTCGTTGTTTTCGGGAAAGCGAATGAATGAACGATCCTCGACGTGCAAGAATACAATAAAGGCGACGATCGAAAAAAATCGCAGTGCTTAATTTAGTGTGATAATGCAGTGCAATCTGAAGGTAGCAAGGTACTCAGGAAAAATTTGCGACCGAGTCAGCTGACATATTGCTTGTTGCTGTGTTTCAGTCGTCCGTTGTCTACATCGAGCCGTCGCGGCCTTCGGTAAGTTACTTTACATGCATACGACACAAACACATGTAGACACGTATGATGTGCTATGTACTTCAACCTACCCACATCCGCTAGATGTACGCACCGTTTTAATTGTCATCATATCTACTCCTTATATGCACAGTTATATATTATATGCTGAAGTATAGGCATTATATCTATGATTTTTTCATGTATAACATATTCTCGCACATTCACATACCCTTCATGAATTATCACCCCCACTTCTAAACTTGAATTGTTATTTTAGTTCACTCCCTTCCTCTAACGCGTGAATGCAAGCGTGTACTTTCGTACTACGTAAAGAGCGACTCTCCTTTTGTGAAATAAAAAATGTCCTAATGAACAACTTTTCAAATTTTAACTTCGAGTCAGGTGTAATAAGCAAACGAAGCAAGTGCATTGCAATGAATGAAGAAAGAAAGACGAAAATACGACGTTGTCATGTATTTTGCATGTTTCACGCAAACACACACGCACACACTTTTATATGCACATGTAAATGCAAAAACACAGAAAAAGAGGCAAAGAGAAGTATCAGCCACGTAACGTCTCTCCTTGGACGTATATATACGTATATTACACTATATATACGTCATATATATGGGTAAGACTCAGAAATTTTTAAATAACTGCTCACCGGGGATCCTCGAATTTGGACCTCGAATTAGTATAGTAAGAAAGCCAAGTAAAAATGGAGGGACACGTACAAAAATTCTGAAAAAAAGTCCAACATTTTCTTGACTTGATTTTTAGACTTTTGTTCTTTGTACTTTTTGACGATAGTCGCTGTTTTGGAATGGATAAAATTCCACTGTCCCTACTATCTTTTTGCGTTAAAAAATATTCTCATGGCGCGTGAAATTCTAAGCATTCCCGCTGCACGAGCATTTAAATAATATTGAATCATATCCATATATACATAAATATCTGTGTGTATGTGTGTAATGTATGTAAGCGTGCAGCAATTGGCAATTGCGCTATGACGGCTGCTGCGACTGCACGGCGACGATGCAATATCTACATCTCGTATGCATCGCATTTTCTCTGAACTTGTTTTTTTTTGTCTTGGCGACACCCTATACGCCGTTGTCTTTGTCGTCCTCGTCAACATAAAACTCGAAACAATCTGCCACATAGAGCAAGATAGAGAAAATATAGATATGTCCATATTAGACTCTCCCAATGAGTTGGTCTTCGGTGAAACCGTGAGCTTATAGCAGTGCAGCTAAATTGCTTTCTTTGTCGATATTCACCTTGCATATGCACGTATTATATATAGCTAAAAAATTTGCGCTAGGGCTCGGAGCATTGCTACTGCTATATATCCGCGTGTATATGTATGTGTGTATGTGTGTACAATACGTAAATTCACGAATGCTACTTTTGTGCACGTGTCGCGTCTGGGCGTAATCTCTCGTTTTTGTAATTTCACGATGGCTCCGAGACCTCGCAAGGGGTAGGTATCATTGTGCACGACCCGCTAAATTCTCTCTTATCACACACTTATTCATACGTTCATACAAGATTAGTTCGGCAATACGCCAATGCGTTAGGCTTTTTGATGTTTTTTAAAGAAATAAGACTGCGAGGAGCATGAGATGAGCAAGTGAAATTGATAAGTAGTACGTGGACTCTGTTGGCGAGTGAGGTTAGCTTTCGCACAATGCATCACACACACACACACACACATATTATATGTATATATTGCACACGCACACACAGAAGGCTAATACTGACTAGTGACTGCGCAGTAGTTACGTGCTCTCTTTATCACTGGGTTATATACGTTGATACATTGTATAAGCCAACTTCGAGATAGAAAATATCGTCGCGTGTTGACGGCTTTGTAATATGTGTCTCTTTGGATGCAGCTGCTCGGCATTTCATAGCTTTAGACGTCTAAAACATCATTCGAGCATGTGTACGTGTAACGCGTGCGCGCATTGCCCAGCGCTCCGGCCATGATGCTCCGTCTCTGTGCTCGACGACGATTCCGCTGCGGCCGCACGACTCCCGAATGCATGCGACAGAGATTATTATAACGCAGCGTGCACTTTTTTTATTGAGCCGATACAATGAGACACTTGCAGCTGGCATATGCTCGAGCGTATTACGTATCGTATACCTCGCTGCGGAATTAGTCATTCTCTCTCTCTCTCTCTCTCTCGGTTGCTTTTTTTTATTCTAAACTTAACTGTCACGTGTCGACTCCGTATCGCAACTCGTGGGCTCGTGGCAAGTGCAGTGTGCATATATTGTGTGTGTGTGTGCGCGCGCGCTATATAACTTAGTTTTTTTGCGTCGAGAACACGCGCTAGAAACGTTCTTGAGAAAGTGTGCGCACACACGTTTGGTACGCTCGCTGCTGTGCTGCGGCTTGCGAGTCGTGCACTGCATTGCATTGTGTGTGTGCAATCTGTACTTTTGCACGCACACAAACGCATATACACACATATATATATATAGATATGCGCCTCGACCTGCGGACTGCAATAAGAGCTCACATACGTGCATATATATGGGCGCACTACGTCGCTCCAAGCTTGGAATCGCGTGAAACGTGGTCTCTGTTGCTTCAACTCGCGTTACGGTTCGAAAGTAAAAATGTGAAAAGCTGACAAAGCGAGTGCGTATGCGATCGTTCCTGCACACGCGATAGCTGCCTGCCTTCCCTGCCCACCTATCAACATCGCACTTGAATAAACCTTAAAACTTACCTTCCGACACTTTATTTCTTCTTTCTCCGTGTCTCTACGGGTATAGCCGTACCTATGTTGGGAGCCAGTACGCACCGTAAAATACGCACGCAGAGCTGCTCCTCTTATTTTATGCTCCAGTCTCATTTTTTTCCTCGATGACGCTGCGAGCAAAGTTTGCAACTGAACACTTATAGCTGCGTGTACATTGTACAGCGGTCAGGCGCACACAGGATCTTTTGAAATTCGCGCAAGTGTGCGCGTTTCGTAAGGTTTGGGCTTTCTCGACGTGCGCCTTCGTACAAGCAGCCTTCCGACAACTCATTCGGCTCAAAAGGACGTTCAGTTATGGGAAATTTGCGGCGAGATAAGCGAGTCGAATGCTCGTCGAATGCTCGTCGACTGTTTACTCTCTGCCTCATCTGCCCATATCTTATCGATGAGACCTGTACATTTAACGAAACAATTGCGCGTTCGGTCGCCCGAGTTAAGTTAGCAACGCCAAGGAATTACGTTTAGCTCGGAGTGTACGGAGAAAATTGCACGTAATCACTGTAAATACTGCTTTGTGCGTGCAAAGTAACAGCAAAAATATCAGTAAGAAAATGCCAAGAGAAGAGATCTACGTCATAAAAACACATGTACGCGTGTGCGCGTTGCTCCGTAAGAGCAGTGTAGGTATGCAAAAACGTATAGATGCACAGAGACCTAAAGGCAATCTGTAGTCTGTACCGTATATACATATATATTTATTTTATATACACAGAGACTGCATATGGGATATATATATATGAGAGACTCGTCTCTTGCCTTGGCGTGTCTTTCGCCTGTGCTCTGCGCACGTTACACGGACGCACTCGCGAATCACGATACGTGTTTATATACAAGGCATATGTATATGTGCGCCCACGCTTACGGTTTTTGCCTCGCTACCCTTGGTGCTTATTCACACACGCATATATACGAACACAGTACAATACAGGAGGGGAAGAGAGATTATTAATGTCTCGCGTCTGTGTGCGGCTGTGTGAGTGCGCACTATCCATGTACGCACGAGCCACGAGAGCTTATGCCAGGCCAGGCGACTGCAAGTGAGAAACAACATTAGCAGAACTACCTATATGTGCGGGGAATGTCGGCAGCTGGCTCTGCTGCTTTGGACACACATTGACTAACTTTTATCAAAGAGTGGGGATTGGATTTCGTACACGTTTATATATATGTGTGTGTGCATTTTACTTCGCACACACATGTTTCGCCTGCGAATGAGGTGCTTTTTTCTTGCCTGCGCAGGAGTCTTCGATGCTCGTCGCTGCTCATTGCAGCGCTATGCGTTTACTGACAAATCCATGCGCTTCTCTTGACGTAAACAATTTTCATTTGCCATAGTTTTTCTCCCTGTAAAATAACCTCTGTCTATAATCACCTGCATACGCGTAGAAACGCTAATCTGTACTACTATTCGAGTACAAGTGTAATTGTTACAAAATATGTCGAATTATATTTCATGGAAAGAAAACAGTACGTTTCACATGCATTATATGCGTGCATGCATTTTTTTTTCATTTTGTCCAAAAGAGTTGACAAGTACCACTTGCGTAGATTTGCAATACATATAGTTGACCAACCGTTTCCGATATTTTGTCATACTTTTTCGACTTAATGAAATACTCAATCTTAATAATAATAATTCAGCCAAATCAAACGGATTAATAATCGTTACGCGCAACAAACCTTCAAATTCTCTATCACCTTGTCCGTTGTGACAAAGTGTCGCATATTAATGTACTTTAATAATAATAATAATTTTAGCGCGCCCGAGCCCATATAGGTTTGCCTAAAAACTCGAGTACGAGTGAAGAAATATGTATTTCTCTATGAGCAGTACTCAGAGCCTGCTCGCTTGCTGCACACACAATATCTTTCGCTTTCGACAAATTAAAGAACGACGTTGTGCTGGTGGCCTCGATGTCTGTCATGAATTTGTGTGTGTGTGTGTGTGCACATAGTATATTGTTATAGTATATACTTTCTTCTGTGGGCAAGCTTTACAACAGCACGTGTGTTCCCCTTTTTCCTTCATTTGCTCAGATTGGATATCTATTCAACGCGTTTCCGCTAATTTCTGCCTTCATATTCATTAGTTTATATATTGCTGAAACTTACGTAAATTTTGAAACTAAATGACTTAAATCTCATTCACTGTCATTCAAGTGATCTTTGCGATAATGTTCTGAGATGTCAATTGTTATATATAACATTGAGAATTACAAGTTTTATGGAAAACCTTTG